ATAGACGATTTGAACATTTTAACGAAGGAGATTTAGTCTAGATAAGATTAAGCAAAGAGAGATTCCCCAACAGAAGATTCAACAAGCTCCAGCCAAAAGCAGAGGGACCCTTATGTATCCTTAAATGCATTAATGATAATGCTTTCAAATTGAACTACCTGGAAATTTGCAAATCTCACCTATTTTTAATGTTGCAGATCTATCACACCATGATGACTCGACCGAGACTTCCAAATCAAAGATACATGCCATGCAAAAGCAACAAGGCAAGGAACAACAAATGAGCTATATGGAAGCCAACATTCAAAGCCATGGTACAGCGAAATCTTCTCAAGACCGGGGGAATGACGCAGGAGCTGAACCTCCACCCAATTCAAACGGGTTATTAAAGCAAAGCCCATCCAGACTGGACTAGCAAGCGTCCGGTCCGGCTTTGTTTTGAGTCCAAGGGTGTATTAAACCTTACTAGAAGTATATATATATATATATATAACTGTAAGCCCTTAAGGACAAAACGATCATGTAGGTTTTTACACTCTATAAAAGCAGACTAATGGAAGAGCATATGGAATTATACATACGATTATCATTGAAAATAGCAGCTTTCTCCTACACATCTTGATTGTGATAGGAAACACTTAAAGATTTCAAGTAAATTCTATCAATTTCAAAAAAACTGCGAGAAAAACTCTTCCAAACTCCAAAAGAAAACCAGAAAAAGAGTAATTTTATTACAAGAACCAAATAGAAAGGAAGAAAATAACAAGATACAATTGATCCTCAATTCAAGAGGAGGATCTATCTCTCCCAAATCTCTAGACGCCGCTAGAGCCCCAAAAAACTAAGAGATCTCAAATTTCAGCCAAATTCAAGATGCCCTAACCCTAGGAAAATAAAATATTTAATGTATACAATCCAAACGGAAATCTCTAAACAACCCCTACATTCAAATTTCTCTCCTAACTCCCTCAAAAATCCTTCCTGAATCGCTCCGTGGGATTTGTGGTTCGGTCGGCGCGTACAAGGAAGCGGAAGAGTTTCGCCTCTATCCGCCTGAGCCGATCCCATGTGGATTGGCTGGACCGGTCTAACAGAATGATAATAATATATATAACTCGATAATCACGTGATTTCTCCCATTCGATACAACAGCTCGAGTGGGGTTATTTGATGTGCGTGTCAGTTTTTAACGAGTGCAAGCCCCGTGGTTAATTACATCTTAGACCTTAACCTAAGAATACTCTTGATTAAAAATGTTATTTTATTCTCTTCTTGGTTTGGCGAGTAGTGTAATCTCTAGGCTTTCCTAATCTAAATAAATATACGCTCAATCAGGTTATTCAACATATGAGGATCATGAAATCACTCGGCCTAGTCAGAAGGGGAGCAAACAACATAGGAGACATCACATACGAAGCATGCATGAGAGAAAGATAAAAATAGTGTCATCAATTTGACGTAGATATGTGGGTTTTATAGCCTTCGAATAATGAAGAGCCACCCAACGATAAGGTATGAGATGATATACATATACCGCCAACTTTTGATCCTAGGTCAATAAGAGATATATCGTACACCAATTACTAGTGCCCCCGACCTAACTAATGCAAGACAGCAAGGTGACTTATAACCTAAACTCCACTAGGAATCTAAGCAGCCTGACCTGAATTTATCACCTTGCTCGAAAAGGGATATCAACTAAAATCCATCTAGCATCTCAAATCCATGTAATCCGATCATATGAAAATGCAAGAGTGGTGGGAGGCATAGAAGAGAAATGGGCCTCAAACTCGACCATGGATAGCACTATGTAATGCAAAATTGAACTATCTCATTATGTGATAAAGAAAAAATCTATATGATTGACTCAGGTTATGCATTGAGAGTATGGCTAATCAGAACTAGCGAGTAGTCACTGTGAAGTGAGCTGGGTTTAAAATATTAATTTCATTTTAAAGGATGACTCAAGAGGAATCATGCATTAGTTTTGAAAACGTTGATTGATTTTAAGTCCTATATTCATTTTTATCTTGCTTAGAGAATTTTATCTTAGTAGAAAAATTAACATCCTAAAAGCCTAATGTTGATTCCGTTCGAGCCACCCCCAAGCAAAACAAAGTAAGAAACCTAAGAAAAAGTATGCAGCTCTAGTGCACAATCGTAGTGAACACATCAATCATCAACAAATGAATAATAATAAGAGGCCATAAATGCATTTGAGTTATGCAATACACCCCAGGAAAATAAAAAAAAGGTAGATGAGCTCTACCATAACTACAACTTAGTATAAATCTATAAAAAAAATGAAATGATGTGGGGGGCCTTGATCGATCACCACCTGTTTGGCCTCCTTCCTTCTGTAATACCCTGACACCTACAAAGTTTCCCTAACTAAAGTACATTTAGAAAAAGAAAATTACATGAGTTCTTTACAAAAAAAATATTAGCACATTTAAAATATTTTATATATAAACATCCAGATCTAGTCTTAAGACCACATTCCGAAAGACATGGCATTTCTCGTAGTACCTATTATAAAGCGCATTTATAATAATTTCATATTAGCCCCTTAAGAATGTAGCCACCTGTAAAAAAATCTCTATAAAAATCTAACAAAATCTAACCACTTAAGGGCAAATGACCACTCATCAATCCACAAAACAGAAAAAGAAAACAAGCATAAACAATCCAAGCCAGAAATGCATAACCACATCATTACAAATGTAAAATATAAAATAAAAAATGTGAAAAATGTTATCCTAAGTCCTAACTACACCCTATCCTATGATGTTTACAAAATATGTCCTATCCATCACTTAGGTGTGTGCAACATTAGTGTTACCTAACTACCCCAAATTAGGTAAAGGGTTCAAGTTGCAATATCAATTTTGTATAATTTAATTTATTAACCCAAATGATTCTCTTTAACCGATTAACCATTTGTGATGGATTTAATTATTATTTGATTTTTTTTAGAGTTACAATTTTGATTATTAGGTTATAATGAGCCCAATTGTATAGGTCCTAATATACGCTAAAGTTATAAAGAAGTGGGGGGCAAGGGCACATCATTAATCTTGCATCTAACTAAGGCTGGAAGAGTTATGAGGTTGCAAGGTCGGTTAATCCTCTCTCAATGTTCTAAGGCTCGAGGTGGGGCTAAATCAATTACCCACCATAAAAGCCCTAAGCTTCTTATATCTAAGATAGATTTACTTTTAAAGAATTAATATATGAATGGAAAACTCTCTACCTATAGATATATTAAGCTCCTATCAGACTTAAAATTTGATATTTGGGTGGTTAAAGAGTTGGGTTAGGTTCCTAAGGATGGCTTTAATTTTTTTTTTTTTTTTGAAGGGGACAATTTATATAGATCTTTTAAACCCTTCTCCCTTAATTTGTGAGGTGCATAACGTTGTTACAACGATCATGAGAACCAATGCCTCCTTAGTACACGTAGCCACGCAGCTCGAGGTAGTTCAACCTATATACCTAACATGTATTAAAGGAAAATATACAAAGATGAAAAAAAAATCTACATAGGTCATGGCACTAAGGTGTAACTTGAAGTTCATTTGCTTCTCCAATATATTCAATTTGCTTGCTTAGAGTTAAGGGATTTTTAATTTGAATTTAGAATTTTAGTGGTTTAGCATTTTCCTTAAGTATTGGAAAGTTTGTGTGAAAAGATTTTATTGTTTTGTTTTAATTTTGCCTTAAGTAATATAGACTTTTGTTCATAATTATGTTAAGAGTTCACAAGAATTTATTTTATATTCTTCTATTTTTTATTGAATTTTTATGATTTTTTAAAGTTACAATTCAATTAAGGGATTTTAATTAATTTAAAGTTGAAAGAGAGTAAATTGTTAATTAAAATATTAATCCAATTTATGATTCATGGTGGTTTTATGAGTTTATAGAAATTTATTTAAAGCTCTCCTAATTTTATGGATTTTAATAAATTTTATCGTCAATCAGTTCGTGGTATAATCACAACGAGCACAAGGACTAAGACCTCCTTAGAACACGTAGTCCTGCAACTTGAGGTAGTCCAGCCTATAAAAATTTCATCGGGTTAGATCGTGTGAAAGATATACATATTTATTACATTTTTTTAATCACCTTAACCCTTAAAATCCTATAGGTTTGATACATGTTTACTTCTAAATTGAGCATAATGAAGATTGCAAAAGTTTAGTTTGTTGATGATTTGTTACTGATTATTGAAGTTGATTGATAATTGTTGTTGTTAAATCAGAGCCATGAGGTTTATTTTACTCTTGTTTGGGCTAATATAATAGTCTTGTAGACCCGAGTTTGCCCAGCAATCATCTTGTTGTTTAACATATTTTTGTTTGTTACTTAATGATTTTTGTGTGATTATCATTTTGGTTAGTTCATTATCAAGTTAGGATTGATTGAGTTCATTAGTTATATTCAATCAATTAACATAGTCAATTTAATTTTTTAATAGTTCAAACATCAAACAAATGGTATTATTCTAGGTTCAAATATCAAAACTAAACACATTACCTATAAGGAGATATATAACACCACACAAACATATGAAACTACCTAACATACTAGAGCTCATTTTATATTATATTTTCATATTATTAACATGTTTAAGGAAAATAGCGTTCAAAAGCTCGAATATCATTAAGAGATGATTTTTAAAATTATTTAAATATTTTAAAATCCCAAAGAAAACTATCTTAGCGAGACCCACTTCGTGTGAGAAAACAACGATGCACTTGACACAATAGAAGGGCCTACACTACAGGCCTAGGTGAACAAGAATGACTCTAAGTTTCACAAAGGGGGCAAGCCTTAGCCAACAAAGTCAAGGCTTCAACAGTGCACCACCCTATGGCTAATAACTAATACATTCCTGCCATATGATTTGGGTGGAACATAGAATAACAATCATGTGTGTGCTAATGTAGCCATTCGGCATACAATGAGGAAGTCTTTACAAGTTACAAAAAATATACCTGATCGTGACGTGTCGAGGTGTATCCGTATACCCCGACAAAATATAGGAGCCTTTCCATAAGGCCCAAGAAAGTGTGACTCACCAACCAATGACATATGCATGAACCCCTCGCAAACAACAAGAGAAAATATATGTAAGAATCATAATACAATCAGAGTATGAGTACACATGTATGAATGTAATGCTTGATGTAACCGATTTGATGCACAATCAAAGAGAGAGAGAGAGAGAGAGAGAGAGAGAGAGAGAGAGAGAGGAAAATCAAATAACAACGTAATTCCCATTTCATAATTAACATTTCCCATTTTATATTCACATCAATTCCATATAACTACTGATATATACAAGGCATATGAATATAAATCATAAGGACATAAAGCACATGAAAGCATATCAACATAGGTAAGGGAAAATCAACGTAGGAGAATACTACACAAGAAGCATATGAAAGTTTGCTAACACAGCACATATACATCTACATGAAATACGTGAATGGTCTGCTAACGTAGAATATAGAGATATATTATACATGAAACATGTGAGATTTTGCTAAAATAAACACCAACTCTTAAACCACATAGTTTCAAACATGTATGAGAAACCTTCCAACAAACCTATAAGACTCCAATGCCAAATGCAAATGTGGTATATAAAATTTGAACATACACATAGCTTTCGTATAAAACGGATGCATGAAATTCAACATTCAGTTTGATATAGAATATGTATAAAATTCATTGCATATGCATACATGTATTTTTTTTATTGGAGTAAAATATAGAAAGCTAGCATGTATACATTCATTTCCAACATAAACAAAACATCTTTGCATTGAATCTATATACATTCATGATTGAGGCAAAAAGTAGACAAGATTGTGTAAATGGTTATCAAGCATTGCATAATACTAAACACCTATGCACCTATGCAGTATTAAGATTCGTGAGTGTATATAAACATCTTACTGTAACATGATTGATTTTGGTTAGGATTAAATGTGCTTCTAATTAATCTTGAATCATATAAACATGTAAATAACCTAACAGAATATCTTTTGTAGAGATCATCAGAATCACTTGTAAAGATGAAGCACAAATATGAAGTAACAAAGAAACATCAATGTTTAAACCATCTCTTCATGACTTCTACAATATCTATTTTCAAAAGTTCATCTTTCTCTTTCACATGAGCACTAAATGAAAACAAAGTAGCACTTTAAGTTTCTCTTTTTTTTTTTAGTTTTCAAATGACGAACATTTATAATGCAAATGTAAAAAATAAATAAATAAATAAGTTTTCCATCCACCACATACCTCATACTAATTTTACTTACAACACTAAACTATCTTTCATAGAGATGAAACATGCTAAGCAGTGTGGGCAAACACAATAAATGTAAGTACGGCCGATCTTTTTTTTTTTAAGATGAGCGCTATGCACAACATATGACTCATCATAATGTGAAGGAATATCCATAAACTTAATATCTCGTTTAGATCACTATTCATGCAAGGCATTTCAATCTGTATACATCACATTCTTTCAAACTAGCTATGACATTAGACACAAAACCTTACCAATCATACCTTATTCATTCATGCTCAAGATACAAGTATATATAGAATGAATTTTGAAGCATCATTAGTAAGAAATATAAACTTCATATCAAATCTGATTTGCAACCATAAATAACAAAGTCATAAGAATTTTTTTTAAACAATAAGAGTGTTATCTAATACTAATTTCCATTTACCATTTAAATCTTAATGTACATGTTAAAGATAAGAGGAAGGAAAGAAAATTAACACGAATTCACCCTCTTGTTGTATGTATAAACATAGCGTTTGAGAAAGATAACATCAAGTATGCATATATCAAATTGAACTATGAATTCATGGTATTATATTTCATGAAAAAATTTTCCAATCAACTTTACACACCAATAAAGTACAATAGATTGCCTATAAAACTTGAGCATGGAGCTTTCGAATAAAAAGACATTTGACAATCCATAAAAAAAAAAAAAACCCGGTCAAATATTCCGCTCTTTGTTATCTTATGCAAGGTGAAGCATAAATATGGATTTGCTATGACCATAAGCTATCATTCTATATCAAAATAGCAAACATGTATTCAATCGTAATAACAAACTCTTGCATGACATGTAGTGTTATCGTAACTCAAACCCTTTATTGAATATATGAACATAACATAGAGATATAAACACATTTATTTGCATGCTTGGTCAAACAATAAACTTCCGGAGTTCATACACGACATTATAATTCGAATGTGTTTATATACCTTCTAATCAAATTGATGAACTTTTATAGTTAGATATGCATAAGCCCAAAAGAAAAGAAAATACATTCATGATCTATATTAAGCATACATATAGCATTAAAAGGAAAGAATCTTTTTTCTTTTTTTGTTTTTACGTATCACTCACATCACCTCAAATACTAACATATGAGAACAAAGGAAACAGAGCATTATTAACACAATCATTCAAGACTATAGGAAAGGAACTAGAGCAATCATTCAACATAAATATAGTGATTGAGAATACCCGTACTTCTGCTTTTCAAACAGAAAATCCAAACAAACTTTATATTTCAGATTGTATGGGAGATTTATACATTATCAGTTTCTGATTTTTGGGGGGTTAGTATGAAGATATGGGGATAAGGAGAAGGAGATAGAGAAGATGATGATGAAAAAGAAGAAGAAGGAAGAATAAGATGAATAGGAAGAAGAAAAAGAAGAGGATAGAAGGAGGAGGAGATAGAGGAGATGATGATGATGAAGAAGAAGAAGAAGGAAGAATAAGATGAATAGGAAGAAGAAAAAGAAGATGATAGAAGGAGGAGGAGGAGGAGGAAGATGAATATGAAGAAAAAGGAGAGTAAAGGAGGGAAAAAGGGAGAAGAAAGGGAAAAGGAAGGAAATAAGATAAATGGAGGAAGCAAACCTGCGGCTGGGAGAGGGTCAACGGGAGGAGAACTTCGGCGGCTGGATCGCCCACGGACGTCGGGGTCGGAGACCGGCGGCAGAGAGGAGACCGAGAGAGGGAGGGTTTTTTTTTTTTTTTTCTGGGCCCGTTCTTCCAACAGAGAGGGAAAAGCCGGGAGAGTCCCGGGCGAGCGATCCTCTGTGCCTCTTCTACCGCTTCTGGTCCTGCTAAAGTCGATCACGGAACTGGCCCTACTGGATAATGCAACAAGGGCGGGCATCAAATCTCAAGGGAAATAGGGGTCGTCGATGCATTTTTTTTTTATTTAGAAAAGGGTTTGAATTAGTTGGAAAGTTGATTAAACTAAAATTGATCTCAGATTTAGTTAAATGGGCTGAAATTAGGGTCAAATCGAACTTGATTTAAGTTGATTTGGATTTAATTCAATTTGGTCAAATTAATTTGACGAAATTAAATATGAATCGACGTTGAATCGAGTCAAATTAGGCTCTACAAGGCTTAATTAGGCTGATCGAGCATATTTGAACCCGATAAAGGGGCTATACACGGAAAATGATGTCAACTCTTTGTCTTGTTCCTATAAATAGCTATGTATTGTTGTATAATTATGATATATATTTTTGAGGATGAATAAAAGAGTTTGTGGATGAGTTTGTTTACAATACACCGGATGTTATTAGTAGCTTCATGATCTGTTGTCTGCTTTAAAGTTTAATTAAATGAAGATTTTTTAATTTCTTTTAAAAACTTAAATTCTAGGATTTGTCTATCGTAAGTTAAAATGATATAACTTGTCTTGTCTGTGAGTCCTATCAGGTTAAGTTATGACAAATATCAACACTCCTTGGGTTTTGGCCATTGTCTTAATGGCAGACATAATGTTTTGATTGATCACACATGACACAGATAATTCTTGACCCTCGTGGGCATCGACCTTTTGAAGAAGCCTTTGTTTTGAATTGCCTTGGCTTAATAATCATGAAAACTCGCAACAAATTCAAAGTTGATGGTACACAAATTGGAGGTGGGAGCGACAACTTTCCATGATGATCATCATGACATTCTTCATCTTGTACTTTCCCATCCAAGGGATATGTTCTCTAGTGTTTTGTTGATCTCCTTTGATTATGATAACCTCACTTCTAGGTTCCTTGACTCTTAGGACGACTTGTTTGATCTTTATGATAATTTTTGTAATTTATCTCCTATAAAATTTATCTCCCTTCTTCCGGCAATGGTTAAGCCACCAACCTCTATATTATAGACGTGCTTTCATGTGATTGTTGGCAAGTTCAAGCAACTCGATTATTAAAGGCTGAGAACATACCAAAAAAAATTTCTTGCAAACATTGGGTGAGAGCTACTCAAGCGATAGCTAGTTCCTAATCTTTCACATATAGTATCTTCTACTAAATTTGATCATGAAAGTACTCAATGACTCATTCAACACTTTCCTCCATAGTAAAGCTTGAGAGTTCTTTAGTAGCCTTTACATAGTGGCAAATTGTGTCACAAACATCCTCAAGAACTTAGTGAAAGAAGTGATGACGTGAAGAGGCTAATGCAAAAACTACCTTAGAGACAATTCCTTGGAGGCAGTAAAAAATAACCTACACTTCAATACAACAACAACAACAACAACATCAAGCCTTTATCCCACTACGTGGGGTCGGCTACATGAATCCTTTTTCTCCATTGTGTCCTATTAAAAGCCAAATTCTCGTTTAAATCTAATAAAGAAAGGTCATTTTACTTTATTGTATCACTAATATCAATATGTGAAACAACCAACTTAAAGTGGGTGACATGGTTAGCAGGATCTGTCCTTTATTTGTATGAATATAAATGATGGATTTTGTGTAAGTGAACAGCCTATGCACCTTGTATTTACGGCTTTGCCCTCTTACATTCTATATATTCATGTGTACCGTCCAGACTCGTTGAGTCTTAGTTTTATCATTTTCCTCTTAATACAATTTATTCTGCTTTTCCATCCTCCGTCTCATTCTTCTTTTCTTTCTCTGTTCTGTTCTTTCATTTTGAACTTTGTTGGAGGCTTGGCCTTAACAATTCCTTGAAAAAGGAATTGATAAGCGATGAAATTCTTCTATCAAGTCTCCTTTTTCCCTAGCAATTTTTTTGAAGTTGACACCTCATTGTCGAAATATTATGTCTCATTGATAACAAAAGTAGAGGTTGATGCTCTAGCTCCGAAAAGTCTCATTCTCACCATAGAATCAGAGGATCATTCATGCAATTTCACTCTATAAATGGTTCTCATGATTCTTTATAGTGCTCCTTAGATTAATTAAGTCATTTATTTGCTTGAATTCAACAAGTTGATGAACAATCACACAGACACACACACACACCTGATTCTATACGTTGACATATTATTCTCCTCCTTGGCCTTCTGATGTTATTATGTTTTATTTAGTATTCATTTTCTAGTTACTGGCATGCTCTTTGCTCAACGTACATTTCAAGGTGTTGAATTCATAATTATTAATGAATCATACACAACTATACTGAGAATACATATGAAGGATGGAACATGAAAGTCGAGAGAGAAAGAAGAATTTAAGATTAAGAAACTCTGAGATTTAAGTAAATAGGTTTGGGTGCATAGAATTATGAAAAATGACCACACCCCTTAACCTCCTATTTAAAATATATGAGTGGCCGTTTATTTGATATTAAAGTTGTATATGGGTGGTAGGAATGAAATATATGAGTGGTATATTTGATATTAAAATTGTATATGGATGATAGGCATGTGATATTAATGTTTTGAGGGTTATATATGTAAATATCATGAAATAAAGTGTTATTTTTTGTAAATCCCTTTTTTTAATGAGAAAAATTGATAATTTTAATAAAGTAATTTTTTTTTGTTATGTCAAACTACAGAGAATGAATAAAAAAAGTATACGTATAAATTATATCTAAATGAATTTCAAAATTATTATATTTATTCTGATATTAATATTATACTAAAAACTTTCTATTGCATTAATTTTAAAATAAATCAAATATTTTTGAAGCAAATCATGATAGTCACAAGATATCCCGCTATAATTTTTTTTCTAAAAATATTATTTATATCAATGTTGTTATGAATAGTTTTGTTTGAACATTTTTTGTGTAATAGCAATGTTCTAGCTAAAAGGATTATTTGGGATTAAGAGTGATCCTATTCAAAGTTGAATCAAGCTCAAGTTCTCTATATATGTAGATATAATCAAGAAAATGATGATTACACCTAAAAATTTTTCAACTAGTAAAATAATAAATCACTGTAGTTTTTGTTTGTATTGTAGCAGGTGTGTTGAATTCTACTGTATAAGATAATAGTTTATTTAATGGTATGAAAAAATGAAAAAAAAGGAGGATTCAAAGCATGAATAATAGGACTACATATATTAAAGCTTCATTATTAGTTGGTACTTAGGCTCTAAAAAAGTTATTTTAGATTTCGTTGGGATGGCTTTCTTATTGCTTCTTAAAATAGCTTTTTAGTATTAATTGTTGTCCCAAACAAAATCTTAGGCTTCGTTTGGGATGGCTTTTTTCCTGGTTCTTAAAGCGGCTTTCTAGCACAAAAATTAAAAATTTTGTACTAGAAAACCGCTTTAAGAAGCAATAAGAAAGTCGTCCCCAACGAAATCTAAAATAACTTTTTTAGAGCCTAAGTACCAACTAATAATGAAGCTTTAATAGTATTAGATTGGTTGAGAAAGGGAAGATAATTTATGGGAACTACATGAAGTTTGTTTGATCTATAATAAGGTATGTAGACAATAATATGATTGTGTAACTCTGTGAAATTTTTTTGAAGAATAGCTATCTAAAATTTTAGAATTATCTTTCTAAAAGGAAATATGAACAAATAATTGAGGGGTACATAGAATTCATGTATGTGTATCTCATTCATAAAGCTCTCATTATCAAATAAAACAAATGGTATTGACATATTTGATGCTCATATTGAGACCCCGATGAAAAGTAGGAAGATTAATATTATACAAGGAAGGAGGAAATGAGCTTGACATAAATTTCATCCTTATTTGTATATACTCATTTATGATATTGGAGCTTAAAGCCTAATATCCAATGTGTTAAAAAAAATAAAATAATTATAGGCATTATCTCAATCCTACCAAGACGACCATATAACTAAATCTAATCACTGTATTCGTTCTCCTCTTTGAAAGTTTACAATTAAACAAATGTTTCGTTTAGGATATATAACTTTTTTACTGTTTTCTAAAACAACTTTCTAGTATAAAAATTTCTAGTTCAAGAAACTTTTATACTAGAAAGCTGCTTTAAAAAACATTAAGAAAGTCATCCCAAATGAAGCCTAAGTCACAATATTATATGTATTTCTTGGTCCTCTTTAGAAGTCCTATGTAGCTAGGTTATATCATTGTTTGCATTGGTTCAAATCCTTCTTATCTTATGAGTAAAGCCCGAAAGTCATATGCATTGTCTTGACCTTCTCCTATAGTTGAATACAAAACTAAATTATGTTAGTATATCCATAGGATTAATTCAAGCAATTATATGTACTTGCTTAGTCCTTTATAAGAGCCACTTAAACAACATAATGTTCAATTTTGTTTAGATATTCTCCTATCATGTTTAAAAATAGCTTAAACATAATTCAAAATTTAAAATCTTATGCAATCTTATTTAATTTCTAAGTTTGATATGTAATCAAGTTTTAATTGAGCAAACTAATCATATGTTTGATACTAATAATTTAAACATATTACCTTAATATTATGCAAATTAGATTTATTGATTTTAATCAAAATTGAAATAAATTAATATAAATGAGGCTTCATTGACTAAAAAAGTTTGCTTACAACCATATCTAAATAAGGAAAATAAATTCAAATTAAAACTTATACTTAATAAAGTAAAAAAATAAAGAAAAGATAGAAGTAAGAAAATGAGCATTTAGAATAATCTTTATAGAGCATGATATATGATGCATTTGATTTAGCAAGACTTTTTCTCCAATCCCTACTTAAGAAGATTGAAAACTTCTTTCATTATATTTAATTTTTTTGTTACCCCAATATATCAGATCTATATATAGGAGCACATTCAACAAAGTAGTTTTGGGCATCATTTTTATCGAAAACTTGGTACTTAAAAAAAGTAGCTTTGGTGATAAATAGAGTGATTAGTTGTCATGCGCCAAGATCTAAATTTGAAAAATTATATCTTTTTTATTTTCTTAATTTAAAACTAGAGCTACTAGTCAACTTATAATTTCAAAATGTTTTAATTTGAGAATTGCTCCATTTTTTATGAGTCGAATGCCACAGCTACAACGTATGAAAACTTGTATAATTCTTTCGGTGCCATTTTATTAGGAGTTTTTATTATATGTGCATGCAATTTTATGTACTAGCTAATAGTGAATTCAACTTCGCTTTCACATATTAATTTGGAAACATATTAATAAATTCTTTTACTACTAGCATTTCTAATTGATTTATCTCAAATTTTTACATGTTTTAAATATTAGACCCATTTTTCTCCCAACCTGTTAACTTGAATACTTGAAATTAAGGATTATAATATTCTCACATTTCTATGAAAATACATCCACTTACCACTACCTATAACATTATGATTCCATAATCAATATGAACAATATAATCATATAATTCATTCATAATATCACCTCAAACTAAGTTAGGGTTAAGAAGATAAACTCATCCTATAATTTTTAAGTGGAAACCTCAATACATATGCATCACTTGCAATCATATTACAAATAAGAATATACATGAGCTAATATGTGATGTAATAGGAAGCAAACACAATATATCAATGAACATCTCATAGATAAAAGAATGGATAACACTTAGATCAAATAAATTTCCACCATATTTTTTAATTATACCTATGACCACATAAGATGCACTCTTTCTTTCTTTTTTCCTCAAACATAAATGCGAATCAAAACTATTGGAGCTCCAACTGCAAGTTGTTCTCTTTGACTCATTGTGGGCTTTAATACTATTGTTCTTCCTCTACATTATAAATCACGAATAGAGTTGTCCTCCATATATAATGTTGTGTTGTATTGGTTCTCATGAAATAACCTTAAACTTATCTTCCTTAATTCACTCTTACTTCAAGATATTGAAAGTCATGCCTTGTTTAGCTACTTATAAAATATTAAGCAATGATTATAAAGTATTTCCTCACATGTATTTTTCCACATAAAGCATGTATGCCATCACTTCTAACAAAAGGTGCATAGTTTTTCCTTGTATTTCAAAGTCTAAACCAATGTTCCTACCACCAAAGTTGCCACTGGACATATCTCCAACCATCTTCCTTTTGCAAACTTCTCACTTGTGTTGTACAATCCTCATATCATTTTTAATTAGTCTTATATTTTTCACTTACTTAGAGAAGTATTTGATCCTAAAAGGTATCAATAACTACTTAAGATTATCTTTAAACTCTCTTAAAAACTTATAGAGTGCCAATTAGAATGGTATCTGCCATAGAAGTGAACTTTGTTTCATCTTGCATTACCATCTACCATCCTTGCTCTGAAAAGGCCATCACATTTGTTGAATCAATGATGGTGGTATAAATTAATCTCAAACTACTCATATAAACTCTTTATGAGAGATCATGGAATATTGCAATCGTTGAAACTTCTCTTCCTACTGACAACACAATTTTGATTGTACTGCACCATCTAGCATAAATAACACCATTAAAACTTCCCCGAACATCATTCTATCTAATATTTTATTAATACATTATAACCAATCCTTAGAACTTCATCATATCATATCTTTCATTTTGATCTTCATCCTGTCACGGAACTTTATCTAGCGAACATATCTATCATTGAAATTATAGATAAGATTAAGCATTTTTTATAAAATAAAAATGATTAATTTTCCCATTTAACATGTGGATGGCACATGTATAATTATTGAGAGCTAACTTTTTTTTCAAATAATTTAGATAAATGATAGGAGTTGGAACACGTGAATATATCATATAAGTATTTATTACGAATAATACCATATACTATTCTATTTTTTTTTTTTTAAATAAAAAGAACAAACAAATTTATGTATCAATGTCAGTTATTGATATCATGTTAGGATTTAATATATAAATTTATATTGTGATGTGATATGAAATTTATTAATAAACAATCGACACTATAGGTGCAATTTTATTTAAATAGGCTGCAAATTTCATTATCACTTGTTCACAAAAACTTATTTTTTATTGAAAAGATCCATAAGTTATTGTCGTTTGCAACATTGGTTATACTTTTATTTGACTTGGTTTTTGCATATTTAGCATTTGTTTATATCATCCATTCATTGGCAATTGAAAGATTAATAAATGTGTGAAAGGTAATAGTAAACCAACAAGTTTATGCAAAAAAAGCTTTTAATAAAATATTATAATTTTTTAAAATATTAAAATGATTTACATAGGGAACAAAAAAAAAAGAGAGAACTTTAAGAAATCAATAAAAAAAATAAATATTTTCAGCGGTTAACATTTTCTGACGTTTGAATCACCGTCAAATGAGTTTTCGTCGGAATTTTGTCGAAAAATAAATTTTTTTGCCGTATTTCTATTGTTACCGATGGATTTGGTCCGCTGATAACATGTTATTTTCTTGTAGTAGATGTTGGTCGTATGATTATAAGACAGTCTAAATAATAAATAAATAAAAAATTAGCAGGTTGGGTTTAGATGTCGTTCATTTTATGTTGAAATTAGTGTCTCATTTTGATATCATATACTGCACTAATCTCAACATAAAATGTGTGACATCTAATCCTATCATACCATAATATTCATCATGATATTCGGATTTTTTTTTTCGATAGAAAATTTGATTATCTATCCAATGATTAGAGTAAAATAAGATGTTTTAATATTTTTATTATTGAAGCTTCTAAAAATAAATTTGATGTTAAAATATATTTACAAGAGACATTTTTAACAAATAACATGGTAGTCAATTAAAATAATTAAGGTTTTTTTTTGAATTTTGTAGACTCCCTAATTAAATAATATTCATCAAATTAACATGTAAGCATAATCATATTACTACAATTGATAAAAAATGTACTTATCATCCCGATTTTATAGTAATGATGATAGTTCGAAAGTGTATGATGGAAGCCTCCAAATAAAGCTTCAATAATGTACAAAATTTAAAACTTATTGATTATCTCTTATGGTAATAAATCACACACACACACACACTCACACACACACACATATATATAATTAATTATATATATGATGCATGTATTTTATTAGTTAGATTTTAATTTCGCTCATTTAGAATCTATTCGGAGCATTTGTAATTATTAATAAAGATAATTGAGAAGTGTTATGAAGAAGATTAACATTTTAAAATAATAATTGTCTATAAAAATATATTTAATTATTAAAATTTTTAGATTTTTTAAATATCATATATTAATAAATTTGTCTATGAAAAATAAGTTTATGATAATTTTTAAAAATAATAAAAAATAAAAAAAACATTTTAAATTTATGATAATTTTTAAAAAATAATAAAAAAATAAGAAAAAATATTTAAACAAAAATATAATTATATTATATGAAAAGTTTGAAAAACAAAACAGTGAGAATGATGTTATCGGCATTTCTCGTTTTCCTTTTTGTTTTTTGTTTTTTGTTTTGGGAAATTCTCGTTTTCCTTTTTGTCATTCGTAAGAGTTTGGAAGGCAGTCCGCGCTAACATACTTGTAACAGTGACGTCTAAATAGACGCATTTAACAGAGACTCAAAAAGGACCAATAAAAAAACTATGGCATTCCTGCGGGAGAGCAGACGAGCGGTTGTGACTTGTCCGCAGGTTGCGAGCCGACGAGGCATTTGGTCAATGTCTGGGTGCATTGTTGAGTACCGTTAAGCTTAGAGAGGACAAAAGAGACATTTCACTTTCAAGTCTTCCATTTCACCATACCGCTCGTCAGAGCACTCGGCCTAGGTAGGCAGACCAAAAAAAAAATAATAATAAAAGAGAGATAAGAGAACGAAAGCACAATAATGTTGCTTCTCTTTTAACTCCGAAACCCTAAGCTAGATTCAGATCGGATGAAGTGACGAAGTGTTTGAGAAGCAGGAAAGGATGGGGCTAGTCATTCTTTAGCTCAGCTGATGTGACTTTGGTTTCAAAATCAGATTTTGATTGCGTAAGGATGCTTTGATTTCCTATCATGTTCTTTTACTCCTCATTTCGTACTTTTTTTTGGAGCGTCGTCATTTTAAATCTTGGTAGTTTGGGCTCGTTTATGTGATTTCAGAAGGTGATAATACTGTTTAAGTTCAGATCTTTAACTCCTTGAGCTTTCTAGAATGGTGAAGCTACGTTTCTGGAGCTAGAACACATGATTAATAAGTTTTAAGGTTAGTCTTAGTGCCCGTGCCCTGCTTCTTCAAGTGTACTGCTAGCTTTTGCTGTGATCAGACAAGCCGTTTTGGATCATCTTTATTTTAGGATTTAAATTTGGGAAGAAATTGAAATCTAGAAAGTTGTCAAACTAGTTTTATACGTTATTCCCTACGGAGAAAATTGCCTCAACAGAAAAAGTCTGGAGTACCCTCAGGATTAAAGGCATGTAGCTTCCATCTTTTCATACTGACCTTTACTGGCTGGTTAACATAGTTTGATGCCAAGGAAGGTTTAAACTGCCCTCAGTCAAGGCCAGTTTGAAGAGAGGGGTTCTCCTCATTGTTATTTCTTATTTATTGGAGTAAGATCTTAAGGTGGGTGTCTGTGTAAAGGAAAGGAAGAGTGAATTCTATTGATTCAATAAAATAAGCTAGCAAATGTTAGAGTGCGGACAACTATTACATCAATTAATATTGGTGATATTGCAAGTAATGCATTCTATAATTAATAAGTCCCCACTAGGTAGAGTTCTTTGAGAGTACATCAATCTTGGTGTGCAAACCATACAGGTGAAGGATAAAAAGAAGCTTGATTAGACAATTGATGAGTTGGCCAGTTGTATGGGTGTAGGTGAGCCGAGCTTAAGCAAACATCTCGTATGTTTGTGCTCGGCTCGTTAGAATTATTATTTTTGTTTTAAATTGGCTTGGGTTGAAATTTTTTGTGAACACTGTGTTTGTGTTCGGTTCGTTTGACTTTGAGCCTAACACGAGCTAATTTCGATCAAATGAAAATATATAAATAACTAGATGAACATGCTAGAATCATACATGTTTGCTTGCATACATCCATGCATGCAGTCGATGCATGAATTGAATGGTGAAAGTGCCATTTAATTGAGTGTGAAAGATATTGTAATATGCCAATGGTGGAACAATATTTTGTAATATCAACATGAAATGTGCTATGGAGGAGTTTGGCACAGTACTAGGTGATTGATAACTTGTAGGACAGTGGATCAACGATTTTTTGAATGCCAATCAAGCTATTATCTTTGATAAAGGGATCATCCATGTTAAATGGAAAATGTGAAGGGTTTATTTCAAGAAAGTTGCCATGCATGGGAGGGATTTGAGTTGACATAGGTAGTATAGCAATTGATGGAACACCATTTTGTTGCAGAAATGCGGATGTAAAAGGTGAGAGCTAGAGAGGAGGGAAATGAAATTAGGAGAGGTGGGTATATTTGTGGCAAGTAAGTTATTGAAGGTGCTATTGGAGTGATGGAGATCAATAAAGTTGTCCTTAACTGCTTAATAAAAGTAACATGTTGAGAATCATTTTTTGAGAGATGGGTTTCAAGCATTTGTGGGCACTTTGGGTTCAACAATAATCAAGGAAGACACAAGGATTTGGTTTTGGTTCTTTTTGTTAGCAAGCGCAAGCACCTAAATATTCGTAGTTTGAAGAGATTGAGAGAATCAAACTATTTTTGGGCATATAATGGAATAGTTAAACATCAATTTCAAAGGCACGAGTCCATAAATAGAGTGGAATAGAGTTATGATGGAGAATAGTGAGACTTACCTCAACACTATCTTGAAATGTCACTTGGAACGCCCATCATGTTTTGGTTTATGAGGTGGTGTAGTTAGATGTGAGATTCCATTCGTTGTTAGAAATTCTTATAAAGAGATGTATTTCATGCCATTTTTAAGTGCAAAGAGTGATAATAGATCTTTGGAAGAAATTTTCATCAATTGATTTAAAAGAACAACTTGCGCATCAAATTTGCATTTGAGAGGATATAGCCAAATGTAACGAGTAAAATGATCGATGACGATGACGTAATATTGTGATGTTTATAAGAGTGAATTTGAAGGGTCGAAACATTTGAGAAAATTAATTCTAATGGACTTTTGCTCAAGAAAGAAGGCTCTTAAATGATATTTGCTGATAAGCACTCAAATAATATGATAATTAAGCAATCTCGCAAACTGCCTCTTTCTCCACTAAGCAACCTTCTACGCTGTAACTGCTGTAACTTCCATAATTAGTGTAACTGCTATAGGACGGTCTCCTCCTCTATATAGTATGTACTATATGGGAAGTTTAACAAGGCAATAAATCAATAGTTATTCTTCTCTATTTTTTATTCTCTGCACTCCGCGTAACTTCACTTGGTATTAGAGCTCTAGCATAACAATAAGGTCATCTTCTTCCTCTTTCCTCATGGACGACACAACCAACTCGTCAACAAACATCCTGTCCTCTCAAAATATGGAGCCATCAAGCATGACGGACAATGCCATCCCTACCTCTCTCAAATTTCTGATGTCAAACCTCAAACTAATTGTGCACATCCAACTCATAAGTGACAACTACCCCATATGGCGTCTACAGGTTCTCAAAATTTTCTTTGCTAATAGATTAGAAGGTCCTCCACAATCGACGATCTCCTACCAAATCCCCAATACAACACCTGACAGCTCTTAGACCAGAACTTAGTTGTCGCCCTCTACCCCATCTCTCCACCATTCTCCCATGCATACTTAATATTAATTCCTGTTTTGAATTTTTGCTTACTCTTGAAAAACGCCTTCAACCCACCAACCAATCATGAGTAATTCAACTTAAAAATGAACTCCATGATATATCCTTGAAAGATTGCACCATGACACAATACCTCTCTCACATAAAATCCCTGGTTGACAATATCGCCGTTGTTGCCTTCGAGATTGATACTGAAGACATCATACTATACATTCTTAATGGCCTACCACCTTCTTATTAAGCCTTCAAAACTTCTATAAGAACCTCCCTATCTCCCATAAGCCTTGAAGATCTATACTCCTAATTGATCTGTGGAGAAATTCACATGAACAGTGACCACTTGAAGCACTTCTCTACTCCTCATCCCTCCATGGCTCTCTCTGTTAGCAAAGGCTGAGGTTCTCGCCCCAGCAAGGGACGCTCGATTTGCCCTCCCAATCAAAGCAATCATCACCTACTTACCGCGGAGGCCAAAACACCTCTATTCGACGCCCAACCCGCCAGATCTATGGGAAAACATGTCATACCGCCCTCAATTGCTGGCACAAATGCAATTTACAATACACCCTTCCCTTGCATCGCCAGTCACCGATCTTCTAACTCATCAGTAGATGCCGACTCTTGACTGGTATCTTGATTCCAACGCTTCTGCTCACTTAACTGCATACCTCAACAACATATAACAACCTCCTTCTTACACAAGAGATGACTCAGTGACTGTGGGCAACGATTCTTCTCTTCCCATCCTTAACACTGGACAAGGTCTACTACCCACTCCATTCTCCACCCGTAAGCTATTACTTCACAATCTTTTACATATCCCATCTATCTCACAACCTTCTCTCCATCAATAAACTAATCTATTATAACCATTGCTCTGTGTCATTTGATACCATGGGCTTCACCATTAAGGATCTCTTGACCAATCAAGTTCTACTTCATGGCCGTTGACGGCCTCTACCCGGTGTTAAAACACACATTTCGCAAGCCTTTAATTGCACTCTCCGCAAAATCCGGGTCTCACTCTCTCTGGCATGCTTGCCTCAGACACCCTCATCAGCAAATATTAGCTTCCCTTACCAAACAGCATCACCTCCAATTTAAAGATGATATATCTTTTATTTGTCACTCTTGTAATGCGGATAAAAGCCACAAACTACATTTTACAACTTGAACAATACAGATGTCAAAGCCGCTTGTGCTCGTTCATTCGGATGTCTGGATACCTTCGTCGGTTTCTTCTCTTAATGGCTTCAAATACTATGTAACATTCATTGACGATTTTTCTCGCTTTTGTTGGTTATTTCCCATGATCACAAATCATAAACTACACACAAATTCATTTATTTTGCCAAAATGATGGAAATTTTTTTTCAAGCAACGCATAAAAATATTACGATCAGATGGCGCTGGATAATACACCTCTACCACACTTCTCAAATTCCTCTCCGACAATGGTATTACACACTAATTTAGTTGCCCTTACACTCCTAAACAAAATGGCATTGATGAACGCAAACACCGACACCTCATAGAAACCACTAGTACCCTCCTTCATGCCGCTCACCTTCCACTTTCATTATGGATGGAGGCTCTCCTCGCCACTACTTATCTCATTAACAAATTGCCCTCTTGCTAATCCAATAAAAAACCTTCATACCAGCTTCTATATAACAAAGTTCCAACCTACTATCACCTAAAAATATTTGTATGTTGTTGATCTTATTTTTGTATGAGGTCATCAGGATGCATCCAGACTTCTACCTATTGATCTGATGGTTTATAGGCACCCAATTGTCAATCATCTAGAGTTCAATTCAAATCTCAATCCAGACTTTAGTTCAATCCTTAATCCAGACTTTAATCCCAGCTTTAATCCAGACCTTAATCTAGATTTTAGTTTAGACTTCAAGCCAGACTTCAATCAATTCAAGCTTCAATCAACCCAAACTTCAATTAATCCAGACTTCAATTCAATCCTTAATCAATACTCTAATTAAACTTCAATCAATCTTCAAACAAGCCTTAATCAAACCCTCAGAGACCATAACAATCAACTGTATTTTACAGCTCTATGTTTTCTTCAAACAGTACAGTGCACTGAATAGGTTATAAAATTTATGGTAAAAACAACAATACTATTGTATATCATTTTAACTATCCAGTCTTATTTTCAACTAAATTGAACTTCCTTTCTTAAAAACACTTGTATTTACATGGCTCACATTGAGGAACATCTAAGATTAACTTCAAATGATTTTTCCCCTTTAATAATTTGCCATTATAGGTGGAGCAATTCTTTCCATACATATTAATTACATCACTGTATTGTCTTTTGAGCTCTAAATTAAGTCTTGACGGAAGTGTATGACCATTAGTCAACAGGCTATCCAATTTGACATTAACATTAAGGATGATTAACTAATTTAAATTTTATAGTGAAATTTTGTTTGAACTTTTAATACCAGCCTATGATACACTTTTAAGTGTATAAGTGCATTTCCATTTTTTTTTTGTTTTGTTTTGTTGAAGATTATAAATGTTTTTTGAGGTTTGAGATCATGGTCTAACATGACATTTGGCAAGGACACCATTCTTGAAATGAAAATTGAGTCCGTAGACCAACTCACTGGATGACAGTATCCCTTTGTGACAAGGAGATACTGATAGGAAATCCTTTAGTTCGCAAGTAATCCATGAGGAAATACTTGAGTTCGCAAGCAACCATAGCAATAATTGGCCCAAAACAGCGAGAAAACAAGAAAAATCTGGATGAAAATCAATCCAAGAGTGATAGAATGCAATAGAAGAATCAAAATAAACAAACTCCAAGTAAGATACAATTGATCCTCAATTCGAGAGGAGGATCGTATCTCCCAAATCTCTATATTGTGAATCTAGAGCCCAAGACACCAATGAGACTCCAAGAGAACAACTCAAAGCATGCATAACCCTAACCCTAAACAAGCCATACTATTAATACATTAATTCCCTAATTCAAAAAATAAAATAATTCCCTAATTTAAACTTCCTTAATTCAAAATTTTCCCTATGCATAACCCTCTTTTTTTAATTCTCCTAGTGGGGCCCACTAGTTTGGGTGGCAAGAAGAAAGGGTTGCGGCACTTGTCCGCCTCCTGTAGATTTGAGCTGGCCTTTGGGCCGGTTGGCCAAAGGCCGGCTCAGGTTGAACCGGCCTAACAGATACATGCAGTTTAGAATAATAAGGGTTCAAGCCATATTCTACATTTCTTAAACTTTAATAACAGGCTACAGAAAAAGAATGGAGGATGTGTTAACATGATATCTTCTCATGTTCTTAGGATTTTCTTTCTTCTGAGGTGGCGAGCTACAAGGTTTTTTCTGCTTGCTGCTTAATGTTGTCTTTCTTTTTCTGATTTAATTCTTGACAGGTAAAGATTACGGGAATTGTAGACTAATATCTGTAGAGTCTCTTTAGAGAAATATGGCTTCTGTGAGTGTTGTGCCATCATCAGGATTGAAAAATTCAGTTGGAAATAATGTTGTTGTGGATAGACTTCTGGAAGAGTTGGCTGATATGAAAATTAGAGATGAGAAGGTAATGAATGTTCTTTGGTTTTCCTGTCTATGCTATTAGATGTGTTTTCATCTTCTTAAATTTAATAAATTGCTACAGGAAGTAGAAACAACGGTAATTGATGGAAATGCCACAGAGACGGGTCATATAATTGTAACCACCATAGGCGGTCAAAATGGACAGCCTAAACAGGTGAATCTTTGATTTATCCTATAGTGCGTTTCTATGCTGTTTATGAAGTGTTGTTATTGTGAAATTTACTTGTAAATTAAAATTCTTGATCCGGTGGTGCTAGCATAATTTTTAATTTATCATGAATATTTGAGAGTATTTTAATATTTTGTCTTTTAGATTTCATTATTTTGTTGGAGTTATTATAGTTAGTGTCATTAAGTTTGTTAATAAATTTTTTTGTTTTTTATTAATATTTAAGTACTTTGTTAGCAAATTTAGTTAGTAGTTTTTTTGTTATTCTATCTGTAAATATGAGCAATCTTCAATTTTGTAAGATAATTTTTGGCATGAATTTTTTTTTATGTAGAGATTATTTTTAATATATGCTGGGTTTTTTTATCATTGATCAAGTGGTAGAGCTGAAGAATTTCTTTCTAGAGATGCTATTATTTCATGTAGGCATGGAGCTTGCTTTTTATGGTGCTTCCTTTTCTTCAATTTGGAATTTTGCCAATGATATTTAGAGCTTAAGGTTGCATCATGATATCTTCTAGATGTTGGATATGATATAAGGTCAGTTAACTGGGTAACAAAAAGTAGTACTAAACAAAATTAGTTTAGTTATGACTTATGATTCAGGACAAATTTAATATAATTATTCGAGTTGTATTCTTATTTTCAATGGGAGGTGCAATCCTATGGTATTTCTATGTCAAACAGCCAACTCATAAAAATTCTTTGAAAGAAACAATATTTTTATTCCTAAAGATTTAAATTTACTTAAAGAAAATTAATAACATTTTTTTCAAATTTTGTGGTGAAGTGTTGTTAAAAATAAAACCAAATTGGTTTGATATGCAATATAACTTTAAAGAACAATATTCGACATTCATTTATTTTAGAGATCAACTGCATGGTTATTTTAATTGAATAAAATAACTAGTGTGATTGCATCGTTTCTTTGGCTTGAAGATTTTGCAGCAAAAATATTTTCCCAAATAATATTATAATATCTATATCATTAAAGTCTTAAATAAGTTACTATCCTCCAAAGACCATGGATAATACTTTCTATAGTGCTTTAAAATTGAGAAATATTATAATTAGTCTCTTTTTAGGAGTACTGCAACTTTGATTAATACTTGTAAGGGAGAATAATTTATATATCTCAATCTAAGCCTTTCTATAGTTTTTAAGGTAGCAATTTATTAGTATTTTTTTAGCAATTTATTAGACCTTTTTTTTGCCATTGCTTTGCTTTTTCTTGGCAGTTTATTGGTTTGTTACGTTGTTGAAATTTTTTTACCAATTTCATAGTGTTTTGGTAGTTGGAGATTTGTTTTTCGCTTGTTACTTCAATCTATAAATATGAAAGTTCTAAGTAATATATGATATTTTATTGCATGAAATAAATTTTTTTTTTGTGTGGATGTGGAGACTCTTATTCATCTCTCTCGTGGATATTGATCATTAATCAAATATAAGAGCCAAATAATGAAATCTTGAAGAGGTTATTTTCTTGTACAAGCATGAAACTTGCATTTTGTCTTTGTTCTTTCTCTATTCACCTCTTTCTTCTTCTTCTATATTTATCATTATCGTTTGAAAGTGACGCTTAGTCAAATTTGTTATAATTTTGGATTTTTGTGTGAATTTCAATCATGTGTATAGCTTTCTTGATCGTTAATTCTACCAGTTAATTCTTGTTTTGGGGCCATAGAACTTTTGTCTGTATTGATTTTTAACATTTTTCAACTTTAATCAAAGGTAATCCAATTGATTTGGCTTAAACCTTGTGTCCTATCAATTTTTTTAATGTGCTTGTTGCATTGTTTTTCTTTATTTTCTGAGCTTATAATTTGTTTTGTCATATTGACTTGGTTCAGGGAGATGCTTATTATCATATACGACTTTTATCATCTCATAACAAGCGCTTGTGCTTATATGGTGTTTATTCTGATATTGGTCTATTTATCTTATTCTGCAGACCATTAGCTACATGGCAGAGCGTTCTGTAGGGCATGGTTCTTTTGGAGTAGTTTTCCAGGTTGTTTAAAATTACTTTACTGTCTCTGTATTGTGTCCTATTTTCGATTATATTTGTTTTACCGTGCTCCCGTTAAATCTCGTTATAATTAGGCTAAGTGCTTGGAGACTGGTGAAACTGTTGCAATAAAAAAGGTTCTTCAAGACAAGAGATACAAAAATCGTGAAATGCAGACGATGAGGCTTCTTGATCATCCAAATGTTGTCTCTTTGAAGCATTGCTTCTTCTCAACTACTGAGAAGGATGAGCTGTACCTTAATTTGGTCCTCGAATATGTTCCAGAAACCGTTCATCGTGTTATTAAGCACTATAACAAAATGAAACAGAGAATGCCATTGATATATGTGAAGCTGTATATGTACCAGGTAAGCAAGCACTTTTTCTCCCCTTCTGTGGATTTTTGTCTAGTCTTTGGACCTCTACTTGATCCTTATCCTATTAATGTTTCCTTATAACTTCTTTTGGATAATAACAGCATATGTTTCAGCTTAAAGTGTGAAATGTTATGGTAGGCGCACTCTGATTATTTTTTGTTGACAGATCTGCAGAGCATTGGCTTATATCCATGGAAGCATTGGTGTTTGCCATAGAGACATCAAGCCTCAAAATCTTCTGGTGTGTTTACTTTTTTCTTTTTTATAGAAATTTAAATCTTGCAAGCTAGAAGTCCAAATTCATTCGAGTTGATAACTTAAGAAAAGTTTTAGTTTCCCTTTATTCTACTCTAGAGCACTCGAACTTCTCAATGGTTTTGTTCTCTGGATAGGGATTAACTTAGAATCACCTCAATTCCTTAATATATCCACATTCTCCGATTTATACCGTTTATTGTGCTTGGCATCAATCTTTCACAGTCTAAATTTTAGCGGTTGTATAAGCCAACAAAATTTAGGCTTTGTTTGGGACAGCTTTCATACTGCTTTTTAAAACGGCTTTTTAATATAAAAATTTCATACAAAAATTTCAAATTCAAGAAATTTTTGTACTAAAATGCTGTTTTAGAATGCAAGAAGAAAGCCGTCTCAAACGAAGCTTTAATCAGTGGACCCGTGGTCGGACTGCTCTTCGAATGCTCAATTGAGTTGATGAAAAAATTGAGTTGGTTCACTCCTATCCTAAGCACCTTAGCCCAAGGAGTTGGCTAACTACAAATCAAATCAGCGGTTAGGTTTTGATTCATCATTACTCATCAACTTACCGGTTGCCAGTTACAATGGTCATTGAACCATAAGGGTGGCTCTATCTTTTACAAGACTTGAGTCATAACCTTGTCATACAAAACTTGCATCATGGCTGCATAGATGCCTAACATTCCATGATGTTTTAATTTCACTAACTTCAAATTTAATTGCATTTAATGACAACATTAAAGAGAGTTTACGTCTATTGATTTGAGATCCTCTGTTACAAACTCATTAATTACCCTTAGTTTTTGTTTGTTTATAAATTGCAAGTGGAAACCAAGTTAGGGTTGTAGATCAGGGCCTTGAAGTTGGCTTTGAACTCGGCTTGTATTCACACCACTCTTCAATGAGTGAAAGTAGTTGGGTTCATAATTATTATCATCATCATTAGCTACATCACTACTATCTTGGTCGGCAATAAGAATCCTCTTATTACAATTATCAATTTTAAACATTACACTGGTACATAAGATGTTAATTCTACTGTAAATCTTTTCATAATGAGCTATTGTGGTTGAGATACAGAATGGGAACTTTACAATCTTGAAAGTGTAGGTTGTCTAAGGAAGAAGTTTAATTTATTTGAGGTATTTAAAGTTTAAAAAAAAAAACATTCATTAAAGTACACGTACTACCCTGAAATAATCCAATTTTTTTTTAATATTATCTGATATGCTGAGGGAGCTATTGAGAGAGGGAAATTTTGTCTAATTTGATATATTCAAAGTATGGTTGCATGAATGTATTCTAATTGTAATCAAATTGCTTTATAGACGTGTTTAAGAGGTATCCAAGTTTCTTCTATTGTAAAATAAAAGATGACAAAGCAAATGTTGTGGTGTCTTGCCATGTATGTTTTTGTAGCATAGGTAAAATCAGTGAAAAGTATCCTCAACATAGAACCCCCTTAGCTATTGTAGAAGCGTGAGCTTGCTGAGTTTTTCGTCTTTCCATATTGTTTTTTTTTTTTTTTCATTGGCAATGGTTGTGGAAAAGCTTATTTCTGGCCAATGCTTAGCCATTCCATTCAACTGATGGTAATACTATTTATAAATAGGTGAACCCACATACACACCAGCTGAAACTATGTGACTTCGGCAGTGCAAAAGTTCTGGTATGCTCCTGCTGAATCTCTAATGGCGGATAAATGAATTTGGTTTGTTCATATTATATTTTTTATTTTTGACAGGTCAAAGGAGAGCCAAATATATCATATATTTGTTCTAGGTACTATAGAGCTCCAGAGCTGATATTTGGTGCAACCGAGTATACAACAGCCATTGACATTTGGTCTGCCGGTTGTGTTCTTGCTGAACTTCTTTTAGGACAGGTTTACATCTAAATCTGAAATTTTCTGTTGTAACGGTAAAAATTGTAAACATCTCATTACCTTACAGTTTGAATTTTTTTTTTTGCAATAACTTGCAGCCCCTCTTTCCTGGAGAGAGTGGAGTTGATCAGCTTGTTGAGATTATTAAAGTAAAATTCTCTCCCCATGTTACTTCACTCAAGAGTTTTATTCTTGCTCAGCTATGCTAAGTCTTTTCCATCTAGATTTTAGGCACCCCAACAAGGGAAGAAATAAAATGCATGAACCCAAATTATACTGAGTTCAAGTTTCCTCAGATCAAAGCTCATCCATGGCATAAGGTATTTTTAACGTTTCTCAAAATCTTTCATTTCATCATGGTTATAATTGTTGCTTTTCAAAATGGTATCAGATCTTCCACAAAAGAATGCCACCTGAGGCAGTTGACCTTGTCTCTAGGCTTCTCCAGTACTCTCCAAGCCTTCGGTGCACTGCTGTAAGTGAATATACTTGTGATGTTCAATTTTTGTCTTCTTGTTTTTAAAATTTTGTTTATCACAATGAGTACAATTTTTCATTGCAGTTGGATGCTTTGATTCATCCTTTCTTTGATGAGCTCCGCGATCCTAATACTCGATTACCAAATGGCCGGTTTCTTCCCCCACTATTTAACTTCAAACCTCATGGTATGTTTAGATTTACTTAAAGAGCTTCATACTCATAGAAAACAAAAATCTCAAAGTAATCCTTAGATTATTTGCGCATGGCCAATTTAGTTTTAGATTATCACGCTTCTCTAATTCAGTTGCTCAACTTAAAAGAGCTTCATACTTAGAGAAAAAAAAATCTCAAAGTAATCCATAGATTATTTGAGGTGGCCAATTTAGTTCTAGAGTATCACACTTCTCTAATTTAGTTGCTCTACTTTATAAAATTAATAAAAAATGATTGATATAAAACTAATCTGAATTAAGTCCCTTGACTATACAAAAATTGATCGTAGTTGAGAGACTAAATTAAACATGATATTTTGGGATTAAATTGACCGAATACGAATAGTCAAGAGACTATTTTGTCGATTATCTGAAAAGATGAAAAGAAGTGAGAGAATATCTTGATAAAAAAATAGTCCTGATAGATTTTATAATAATTAAATTGATTTTGAGATAAGTGCATTATATATATTAATTGATTGATCATGTATTACATTATCTCAAAATAAATTTAATTATTTTAGAATTCATCATTATCCAATTTTTTCTTTCCTATTGCTTAAATTGTTCATATAGTAGAACAATACTAAACTATTCACTTGAAACAAATATGATGTTGAACAGAGCTGAAGGGAGTTTCAATGGAGTTTTTGGTGAAACTCATTCCAGAGCATGCAAAGAAGCAGTGTGCATTCCTAGGATTGTAACTTTGTTGGATCTTATAATATCACCAAAAAAAAACCATGTGTTCATATGAGACAAGGGATTAGTGTTGTGTGTGGCAATATTGAAAGCCTCTGCCGTGTTAGTAAAATCTTTATTGCCTTGTTCTGTATATCATATACTCCAGATTAGTACCAGAGAGCGTTTAGTTGTTTAACTAAAAATTAAAAGAAGTATGTGTTAAGACCTGATTCCATCTGGGATATCTTTGTTGCCTTTGATTGCAATCTTTATTAAAAATATATGTTGTGTATTATTGGTAATCTATGGTTGTTAGTCTCTGATTCAGCTTATAATTCTGGTGTTTCTCTTCAACTTTGTGAAGTTTCTTGATAATTTGAATCAATAGCTGTGAGTATATGTGAATCAGTTTGATTTAAATTGTTAATTAAAGGACATCCCTTCTGCAAGTGCTTCTTGTTCTTTGCATCTCTTGGGCCTAGGAATCTTTACAGCGCTACTCCCCTCTTCGACAGTAGAAATTATTCTGTGCGGAGATTGGAAGCAGAACGCTGTCCGGAGATCAACTAGAATGTGCTATGCCATACCTATCCTTTTGTTGCTAGAACCAGAAAGAATATCCAAAATTACAAGCTGGATAGGCATTCCTCTTGTGATGGATGCTCTTGCTGTCGGTAAAATTTGACTAAACTTTGTGAAAATATGAGTTCAGGTTAAAAATGGGGTTCTTTGCTTGAAGAAGTTTTAATCATTGTGGATGGGATTTCACAGCTTTAAAGTGGTTTATGACTGGTCTGTGGTTTGCATTGGCTGTGGCACTTTTACTCATCCATAACCTATGCCCAACAATGCCTTCAGAGCTACCAAAAAAACCCTCTCCTGCTACTCAACCAAGGGTTCGAAATAGGAGCTATAAACCTTCTAAGCATAGTTATCCAAATGTGTTGGGGATGCGAGAGTAAAACATCACAATGAAATAAACAAGAAAGTAATAGCGAAAAGTAGGGAAAAATTTATGAAGCCATATCGCATCAAGAAAATCACTATAAAAGTTTAAGATAAATAAGTACTTCTCTCTATCTCATTGCTTCTGTTTTCACAACACCGTTTTCATTGTTTACAAATAGGAAATATAAGAGAAAACAAGTTATATCTATCAAGGGACGTAAGAAAGAAAATTGTCCAATCAGTCTTGTAGTGAGCACTGTGGCGCTCAAGCATCTGTTTGATGATGCTGCGACGCTCAAACTTGAAGCGCTGTGGTATCAAATCTAAAGCGTTGTGGTGTTCTGCTCTCTGTCGATCAGCATCGGGGTGCTAGGGTATACAGTGACGAGCGTTGGATGATTTATTTTTTAAAGTGGGTAAACCCACCACATCCCTTAACAAGCACGATAAACTTAAGGTCTGAAGCAACAAAACAACCTAATTGATCAATATAATCAGATTTCACACAATAAAATGCTGCTAGTTCTACCCCTCCCAAGCCTCTATAGCTCTACACATCCACCAACTCAAGCTCCCTGTACACAGGGAGAGATACTCCCATTCAATCCCACATGTACTGCTTCATATGGGATCAATGTCACCTTGCCAACATCTCTTATAATACTCTCAACAACAACCATTCCAAATGTTAACTTGCCAGGCAAAACAAAAGCCTTAGCACTACCTTACTCTCCATCCTTAAAAAATCCAGCCCATATTCCTCCTAAACATCCATAAAAACAATCATAAAAAAGCCTAAGGCAATGTCTCACCTTCCCCTAAGGCTTTGTTTTGGACGGCTTTTTTATTGCTTTTTAAAACAGAGTTTAAAAAAAATTAAATTTTTGTACTAGAAAGCAGTTTGAAGAAGCAGGAAGAAAGCCGTCCCAAACGAAGCCTAAATTGAAATACCTTAGCTTCAAGGAACATTATATACAAGAACTATATATACATGGGCTAGACAAGGTTCTTCACTACAAGAACTCTATATACACCTATAACTCCGAATTTTTTGGCGAACATAATCAGTCCATTTATCCCTAATGACCCTGTGATTTAATATATTTTTTTATTATATTATTCTAAAGGTAATCTGTCTATCTCCATCTATTTTTTAGTCTTTATTACAAAGATTTTTAAGCAATTGCGAGCCCCCTAAAATTTTTAAAATCCTATGACCTTTAAGCAATTGTTTCCAGTAAATAGTAAAGAGAATTCAACATTTTATTTATTAATTTGAATTCAAAAAATATCCTTACAATCAAAATTTGTTATAGGGACGTTGCCTCTTAGACTCCCGACAATTACTTTTAAGTTCCCCAGCCCCCGCCCCCCAATTCAATTGGATCACAAAATATTTATGCTCTTGTAAATTATGGCTCTATCGCTTTCAACCTCATAATAATATATGTGACTAAGGTTTTATTTGGGATAACTTTAGACCACTATAATTTTCTACTTTCAAGAGATTTATGCATTAAAAAATAGTTTTATAAAGTAGTAAGAAAACCATCCCAAATGAAGCCTAACTCAAATAATAATTGAAGGGCTAAGAATTCATTTGCTGATATTGGATCCACTATGGCGGGTCCTTAGATTTTGATGGGAGATTTTAATTGTAATAGGTTCCAATTTGAAAAAGTTAGTAGTAATCCTATCCTCCTAGCAAATTTATGGATGTTAGCTCTTCTATTATTGAAGCATGTTTAATGGATCTCTCCTCCACTGTTTTATTTTTCCTAGTCTAATCACAAGCTCCAAGCTTCTTTAAATATCAAGTTATATAGGGTTCCTTGTTAATGGTGTGTGGATTGACACCTTTCTCCTATTAAAGAAAAAATTATTTTGTGCGGACACTGGATACCGTCCGGAGGTTAATCAGAACGTGTCACGGTAATTTTTTGCTAGGTATCGATGCTGGTTACTGTTGTCTACCGGGTGATGTGAGGTAATCTGGTTGGCCTTCAGGCCGTCCGGTATCCGCACATATTAATTTCTCCTATCAAAAAGTTTAATTCTTCAAGGAAATAAATTTTTTATTTAACTTTTAGGTGCCTTTAGGCACCTCATATATGTAAAATAGTAATGCACATTCATATTATATATAAAAAATGGTTATCTTAAAATTATATGCATCATCAATATCTAATGTTCTTAAGGGCTGCTGTCCCCATTAAACTTAAAAAATTGCACTTATATCAAAGCTATTATAGGTGGAGATTAGGATGAAATTCTTGTAAAGAATTGTTTGAGTAATTTAGACTTTTTGAAATAATTTTTTTTACTGTTTTGATTTTTAGATCATAATTATAATATTATTTGACTATTATTATTTTTTTATTGTTTTCAAGAAATTATTATTAAGAAAATGTTTATTAATATATTTTTTTTAACAAAAGTAACTTTCTTAATAATAATATTGGCTTTGGTAGGAACAATTTTCTTAATATTTTTTAAAATAGCTATCTAGTACAAGAGTTTATAGTTCAAAAAATTTTCATATTAAAAGTTCTAGAAAGCAATAAGTATTCCAAATGAAGATTTAAGGTAAATTTTTACCACTATTTTTTTTTTACTATTTAAAAAAATTATATTATAAAATTATTTGTAAAAAACAGTAAAAAAGATCTTAAATAAAATTTTAAAAATCATCTTTATAAAAATTTAGGGTCATGATTTATCTAATAAACTTTTGAACTTTTCAAATGACGAAATTAACGGAAAAAATTCTTATGAAATTATCATCTTTTTTTACCGACAATAGGTAATTTTTCCTTGAAGTTGATGTTGATTGTGTGCTGGATCTTCGTACAACGCTAAGACGTTAAACTATATGTTTCTCTACCGCCGCGAATATTCCCGGACGCAACAATTATTACGTTTGATTCATCTACATACTTAAAAATAATTTTAGCAAAGAAACATTTGATTCATCTACATACATAAAATAATTTTTAATTATATCTTTTATGCATATCATAATTCAATTTAATTGATCATATATGAATCTCAATGCAATATTTTTATTAAAAATTATAAAAATTAATTCGTGATTATTTGAAGATTTGAACTCTAATTTCAACAATTTATCCAACAACATAAAAAGAATTTGATTTGAGCTCAGATGATCATAAGTTAAGTACTTAAAATATAATTAAAATTTGTGAGATTAATTGAATGGTCAAATGTTTCTCAAATCTTACGTGTTTATAGTCAATTGAGTGTGTTAACGAGGAGAATCTAACAAGCCTGAGGTCAATAGGATAATTAAATATTGAAAAATCGATAAACCATTAACATCAATATTGACGCCTATAAAGTTGATGCGGACCATCAACATCAATATTGACGCCTGTTGACTTCATTGTCAACAGCTTTGATGCATGACATCGCTTATAAGGCAGATACATGTGGTTGACACTCAGGCCAGAGCACCTGTCAACTTCTTCACATACCGTTGACAGAAAAAAAAAGACTAAAAATATCAAATAACTGACAGGTGAGATGTTCGTCTAGGGTTTGTAGCAAAAATTTGAAGAACTCGCATGATTTCTCACATATCCTATCGATAACTAATGACAACTAACGGTAAGAAATTCAAAATCACAATCACGATACAAAAGATGACAAGTTATTCATAGTTCAATCAAAGCTTACTCTGTGAAGTAACAAAAAGTTCCATAAACCATCACTAATGAACTCAGAGATTAGGCATAATCCTTCCAGATTTCATGCCAGAGTAGCCATGACTTGTTGGCATAGAATAGCTATCAACATTGAGTTTAGCAAAGGAGAAATATAGCTTATCTGATGCTGAAGAAGCATTAAACATATATCACACAAACAAACCAGTCATTCAAAATTTCCATCTTTCTTCAATCATAACAATAAGTTCAACAAGCCCATATTTATTGACTGGAAATAGTTTGCAGTAAGCACAAATACATACATTTGAAAAAACATCAAAGACCAAAAACCTTTTCATTTTCAATCAATGACCAAATTACAGTCCAACATACATAACAGCATAATGTATCCACATTGATTTTCACTGCTGCAAAGAGGCGATGACCTCTAACAGGGAAGCAGCAAATTGCATCTGGGTATCCTCATTGATCGTCAAGAATAAGGGGAAATGTACAAAGAGGGATTTGATTCCATGTTGCTCTGCGAAGCGAAGAGAGTGGTAATATACATAGTTACAGACAAACCTGCCAGCATCATCAGAAGTCATAACACTGTATCCCATGCCTGAAAGTGCCTTTGTTATCTCGTTGGTAGGAAGCGAAGTCTACATACATGCAAAATTGCAAATCAAAATAAATGAAGTTATAAGCATTTATGAATTATGCATATCAAAAGCAATAGTCAAGGAACAAAGGTGATTTTTTTATTAACATATTTTGTGTAAGTGATTGATTAATTTATCTAACATATTAAAGATGTTAGCTAACCAAACAACATTACATTACATAGCACATGCTAGCGAACCAAACAATATTTCAACATTTCCTATCATATGATGAAACAGGAAGAATCTCTTAGAAAACACTGGAATAGCATTACCTGATATATCTTGGAACCAAGATGATGGCATCATTTAGGAGAAAATATCATAAAAACCAAACCATTTACAAGAAGAGGAACCAGAAAGAGAAACAGATGCCAATTCAAAGAAATTGATTATCCCCGAACCTTATTGTAGAAGGGTGAATTTGATTCCTCAATAATTATCATAATTATGAAAATCTTTATTTTTTTAAATGTTGGTACTAATATGCATGTTCTTCACTCATCTGAAATCCTCTTAGTCCTAAAGATTTTTTTGAAATGATTTATTAATCTAACTATTTTAATATGTCTCATGACTATTAACATTTTCCCATCTCAATCAGGTTCTTCTATATACCAACAGATTTACTCTTTGTACGTCTTCTTTAAAAACAAAACCAACTTTATTTTCCAAATCAATCTACAATGTATGTAGCATGCTTATCCTCATTTTGAATTTTTTTCTTAGAACGTTTATTTGATAGTTTCTCAACTCAACAATTTCATCTATCCTTGAAGTAATTCGTTATCATCATTAGGCTTATCCCAACTATTTGGGGTTGACATTATGAATCCTTAATTCTATTCATTCCTCAATATAACTCATCTTTGATTATCTTCATGATTATAACATCTAAATTGATAAAATCCAAGCATGATTGCTTTCTTCTTTATAACTTAGGATACATTTGAAACTTTGTAGCTTTTTTTAAAGGTGATTGTAAAGCTTCTGTGGAGAAAGAATTTTTTTTTTTGAAAGTTGTTATAGAAGATAGCTTCTTAATAGAAAACATTTTTGAAAATAGTGAAAAAGCAATGGCCAAATAGAAACTGTGATTTTGATCTAAAAAATATAGTAAGAATGCTGTCCCAAATAAAACCATAATTTACTATAATTATGAAGTTGCATATTTGCCTTTTTTTATAATTCTCTTTACAAAACTTCTAGCTTTCTAATATTAGTCCTAAAAGTATTTGTGTTTGAAATTTTAAAAAACCCATTTTTTTAATTTATAACTCATACTTTCACATCATGATGGATCTATCTCTAGATGCTCCTAGAACTTTAATGAGATAAATGTAAATACAGTTGACCATTCTATGTTACATCAAGTTTCGTTCAGCTTTAGAACTCCAATCTGCATCTTTTAACAACTTCTGTTGAATTAACTTTCAATCTCCATACTATCCTAGGGAAAATATTTTCTTGAACTTTTTAATACTTCTAAAACTACAACTATACGTTATGTCTCAAGGAATCATAAAAAACCTTCGATTTTTTTCACCTTTTAGTTAAAAAAAAAAACTGTCTGTGATTTAGTAGTTAAACTTTTGAAATTAACAATCTACTTATTCTCTAAATTATGTGCTCACTATTACAAAATCACATGCTACTGTAAAACTGTACATCTGTATCATCACATTTCTATCTTTTATTCCATCCTCACCAAGAGCAATCTCATAAAAATCCAACCGAAGACCAAATACCCATATAGATCACCATCCATAATTATCTTCTTTTTCTCAAATATACATCAGAGAAGTCATTAATTTATTTCCAAAATTGATTTTAATCCAGCTTTAATAGTATAAACACAAGTCACATTTACAATGTTCTCACTGATGATAAATTTAAAAGTAACAGTTATTCACTAACCTGCTATTCGTGAACATATAATAACCTCCCCAACGTCTAAGGATTTTTATCCTTTCAAATTAGTGTCTTGCAAATATGTAATATTAATTTCCCCTTAAATCATTATATCTACAAATTCTCTATCCTTCTCAATAAAAGTCTCCCAAAATTTATGCATTAATTTTAGACTTAGTTAACCGTTACATACTTCTAATGATACAATCTAGATAAAACATGACACTTCTCACAACAATTGAGAAAAATCATGGCACGTTTATGGGGAATGCCCAAGAAAGCTGGAATCAATACAATCAAAATATGATTGTTTAAAAACAAGAGATTTGAGAGGGAAAAAGCTTATTTTATTACATGATTTCTTTCCTATTTATAGATCTATACAAGATATCTCAATACATAAACAAATAATTACATATTTATTCATAATAACTCTAATATAATCCTTCCTAAATCAGCTACCAGAACATGGAAACAATTTTGGCGTGAGTTATGCGTCCCACAGATCATGGACTGTAGCCGTTGGATCTATTTGCACTGAATGGCTGGATTTTAACAATGATGATTTTCATAGAAAAAAAAAATGGCATTTAATTGGTATCATATCAGTCCTTAAACTTGCCTGGACTAATAAAGCTTGTTAATTAATTTATATTCTCCCAGTGTACATTAATCCAATTATTTTCCTTGTCAGATCAACATGAACCATTTTAAACATATCGTCGTCGCTTCATCATATACATGAAAAGTAATTTTATTGAATGGCTCTGACGAGATTGAAATAACAAAATGATGGTGCAAAATACAGGTTAAAACAAGTTTAGTAGAGCTTAAGTACACATTAATGAAGCTGCTTTAACGAAGCTGCTTTAAAAGGCACTAGACAAGAAACATGTTACTGAAAGAGAAGTAACATTGAAGTAAAAATTTGGAAAATAATCCCGAGAAAAAACTATAATAAGCAATCAGCGATTATGGAGAAGTTCTAAAATAATTAACATAACTAGCAAATCAATCCCGAAGGATTTTCAACCAAATACCACTTCTCTAGATCAAACTCCAGATGCAAACTGTTTACTTCAAGTGTTATATAGAAAATTTTTATGCATCTATTTCTCTACAAGTAGTTATTCTAATAAATTTGTAAATCTAAATTTGGCACTAATATGCATGCAACAGGAATAAGATCAGGCTACTTTTAGCAGCAATCTTTTGACCATTTAAATTCAATGCTCCATCAAAAAATTTGAAAAGAAATGATTGAAAAACCCAGCTCCATAATTTATTAACCTTTTATATTCAATGCTATAAGAATATTAACCCTCAATAAATATTTCCCATCTCTCGAATATATAACATCAATCTAACTTTATTAGTTTTACATATATTCAAATTGAATTATTATTTCTGCTACACTCAAATTAATTGCTAGTTATTTCTATAGTTGAACATTAATCCATATAGCATAACTTACTCAAGTGCACTCTTAATAATTCTACTTTCATGCTTTGTGATATTTTGATATCGGGCAACTATCCTAAATGATTTATTTATTTCAATCACCCAACTTTTAAGTCTAGAATGCGTACCCTTAGCTATATTTCTATCCTTCTGTATATTAAGGTTTTGTTTGGGACGGCTTTCTTTATGCTTCTTAAAGCAGCTTCCTAGTAAAAAATAAAAAAAAATTAATTTTTGTACTAGGAAGCTGCTTTAAGAAGCAATAAGAAAGACATCCCAAACGAAGCCAAAGTCTAATGTATTAAAACTCATCACATTAATTCAATTATTCACTTGTTCTTCCCTAAATAATGATAGATAATTATCAAATTTATCACCATCAAAGTTGCAGATAATATGCATGTCATTGTGTCCCACCCCCAGGTTGCATTAATGTGAACACTGATGCTGCTTTGAAAAGTAATAACCAAGTTAGTCCTGGTATTGTTATTCGGAATGAATATGGGATGCTCATTAGGGGAAAAAGGGATTAAAATTGAACATGCAGCCGAATTGCTCGCTGTGCTAAGCCTTAAGGATGCTATGGAAGAATGGGTGTTTGATTCAGAAGGCATTATTATAGAAGGGGATAACAGCAACATTATCAATTGGGTTAGAAACACTTTGGGAGATCAAAGAAGCAATGATTTTCAATCTTCTCAACATGATTTGAGTTTCTCATCACAGTTTAACCAGGTTCTCAGAGAAAATAACAAGGCCGCCGATTGCAACATCCCCTCTTCTTTTTTGAATGTTTTGAGGGATGATAATGATTGAATATTGTTAGATCGAAACTGGCCTAAGGACGGCCGGTTGAACTAGCCCTAGGGATGGTTTACTCTAGGAAACCAAGCTAGCCGTCGGCCCCCTTGTGGAGCCCATGGCTTGAAAAGGAAGGGGGGAATTTAGGCATGATTGGATTAAAGAGGGGGCAACTGATCTTGTGGGGCCCATTGCTTGAAGAGGAAGGGCTGTTTTATGCATGATTTGATTTAGGGAGAGACTGTTTAGTAATTGGGATCATTTTTTTTTTTTTTATGCTTTAAATATATGAGATTGTTTAGGGTTAGGATTATCTAGATATTTGCTGACTTTTAGAGAGTTTATAGGGTTCGCTTGGGCTCTAGCCGCGGTTAGAAATTAGGAGAGATGTATCCTGCTCTCCAATTGAGGATCCATTGTATCTTATTCATTTTCTTTCATCTTTTATCAATAAAAAGGTTTATTTATGGTAATTTCTTCCAAAATCTTCTCTAATCTATTTTTGCAAGGGCTTAAATTCAAATTCAACAAGAGAAATTCTTGTGCCTACAAGTGTTTCCTATCAAATTGGTATCAGAGCGGTGTCCGGGGTAGTTTTGGGGCTGTGGGCTGATTCTTCCAATAATTTTTCTCCTTCGAACCACTATTTTTACTGTTTTTGGGGTGGAAATATGGATTTTCGAGTCTAACAAAGATGAGGATTTATGGTGGGAAGAAAAGTGGAGTATTGGAAGGGGAGATCGGACAAATGAAATCTGAAATTTCAGATCTCTAAACTTAAGTTTCACATTTAAAAAGTGAAATCTCAATCGTCCATGAGAAGATCGACTTAAAAATTTTCATCCTACAGGAGATGTTACAGAAATTGTTCGAGGGCCAAACCAAAACATCGTCATTGGAGGGGAGGTAAGCCGACGATAGCTATTGAAGTGAGGAAAATCCTAAGCCAATCAGACGAAGGGCAGATCTTGAGGTTGAGATTTTAGAGAGAGAAAAAAAATGCCTCCCCTAGGGCCTATTCCTAGGGAGGAGTCGAGTAGAGGGTATGCGGATATGTGTGAGGGGGTTGGGCATGAGTAGAGGGGTGTTGAATTTGAAAGGCGATGGCTTGATTATGATCGAAGAGGTGCCGAATTTGAAAGGAGAGGGGCTGAATATGGTTGAAGGAGTGTTGAATTTGAAGGGAGAAGGTGGGCTTGTGATGAAAGGTTTGGGTGCGAGTGGAGAAGGGATGATTGGAATAATTGGGAAGAACCACCCCCTTGGGGAATGAGAAACTTTGGAGGAAGCAGGGGTGACAGGAGATCTGAGGATGAGGAAACTGAGGATGCCTATTTTTGAGGGAGAGGATACATGGGTGGTTTTACCGGGTGGAGAGATTTTACCGTCAATAAACTGATGGAGGAGAGATTGACGACAGTCGAGATGTGCTTAGAGGGGAAAGCATTAGCATGGTACCAGTTGAGTGATAAGAGGCGACCCATACAAACTTGGATTGCTTGTTGGAAAGTTTCAGAACCAACCAAGGGGACTTCCATGAACAATTCTTCACCCTGACGCAGAATGGGACAATGGTGGAGTATCATGACCAGTTTGAGCACCTAGCTAGCAGACTGAACCGACTCTCAGAGACTGTACTGGAGGGAAACTTTAAGAAAGGGCTCAAACTGATATTCGAGCGGCAATTAAAGTGATGAAGCCTTGTGATTTGGAAGAGGCTATAGAGCTAGTTCAATTGGTGGAGGATCAGAGGCATTTGAAGAGAGGGACAGGAGGCAACAACTTCGGAGGCTCGTGCAGGATGACTACCACCTTTTTGACACTTAAATAGTTGACACTGGGTACTCTTCGGGAGACCCCAAAGGAGAAGATTGTAGGTGGAAGACCTAGAGACAACTTCAAGAAGCTCACAAAAATGGAGTTACAGGAGAAGAGGGCGAAGGGCTCTATTTCAAATGTAAGGATAGGTACACATCGGGGCACATTTGTAAGGATCAAACTCTTCAGGTTCTCACCATTTGTGATAATGAGGAAGTTGATGAAGGAGTCGTTTTTTCACCTTGAGGATAAGATGGGCCTTTGGGATGGGGGTATTGTTAGACCGGAACCGGCCTAAGGAGGGTTGACTGAACCAACCCTAGGGCTGGTTTACTTTAGATGACCAAGCCAGCCGTCGGCTCCCTTATGGGGCCCATTGCTTGAAAAGGAAGGGGGGAATTTAGGCATGATTGGATTAAAGAGGGGGTGACTAATCTTGTGGGGCCCATTGCTTGAAGAGGAAGGGCTATTTTAGGCAGGATTTGATTTAGGGAGGGGCTGTTTAGTAATTAAGATCATATTTGTATGCTTTAAATAGATGAGATTGTTTAGGGTTAGGATTATTTGGATATTTAATGAATTTTAGAGAGTTCCTAGAGTTTGCTTGGGCTCTAGCCGCCAGTTAGAGATTGGGAGAGACGAATCCTTCTTTCAAATTGAGGATCAATTATATTTTATTCTTTCATGAGTTTCACCTTTTATCAATAAAAAAGTTTATTTCTGATTATTTCTTCCAAATTATTTTCTAATCTGTTTTTGCAAGGGTTGAAATTCAAATTCAGCAAGTGAAATTCTTATGCCTACAAGCGTTTCCTATCATATACCTCATACATAGTTGCATTTTTTTGTACTTTTTCCTTTATTTTGATTAATGCCAATGCAAATATTCAATATTGTTCAACTAATTCATAGTCCGTTATATTTGATTAAATTCTAACTCTATTATAACTTCTCACTTTTTCAATAGATGTCTAGCCTATGAAAACTATTTGGAATATCTCATCTTGAATATTTTTCATAAGCATTTTAATAATCAATAAAAAAATATACAAACTTAATTTTGGTATCACAAGTATATATTGTGATGATAAATTATTTGATAGTTCATCACTCTTTTTAATGATAGCCAATACATAACTTTAATAACCAATAATCTATAAAATGATATTCGGAATGTGACTGTAAACTATGTGAATTTAAAAGAAAAAGACCATCCTACCTCACGTATTCGTGATATGCCTCCATCTGAGGGAATGATGGGTACTCTCTGGAAGAAAAATAATAGCACCAAAAAGTGTAAGAATAAATCATAAATGCTCGACGTGGAAGGAGGAAGCAAAAAAAATGCGAAATCAAATCTTACTTGGGGTTTCCATCCTAGCTCGTCAGGACATCGAAAAGTAGCTTCATTCACTGCTTGATTCTCGATAGCAAATCTAGTTGCACCACTATTAACTCCAAAATGAACCTGAAGATTAACATGTTCGGATAAAAAAGAAGAGTGGTAAGTGAAAAAGAGGGAACAAAGAATCTTAAATGACATAATTTAAATCTTGAAACTCAAGCCAAGAACATGGAATTACTTAAACAAATGCAGAAAAATATGTCATCTCCTCAAAGGTTCCAATAAAGCAAAAAAATTCCCAAGATATTGAGACTAGTAGTTGCTACAAAAGAAAACTAACTGTAACAAATTATGAAGGCTTTTTCCATAAGTTAATGATCTGCCGGCATTATTTAGTTTGAAAAACTAATGATAAGAGCCTAAAAGAAAAATATAGTTAAGACAAATAAGTAACACTAATATAATAGGCTAATAGCAAGAACTGAAGATTTGTGGTATGAATCTAGCAGCTTGTGACCCTTGAAAATAACAAGTTACTTGTTGATACTTCAATAAGAAAGGAAAAACTAGGATCTTGACCATACAAATGAAACTAATATAACAAACTACTGGCAAGTATCCAGAAATTTAAATATGAATGCTTCTACCTCAGGAGCTTTATCTACTTAAGAACTAAGTCGTACATGTTCCTCAGTCTTTGCTACATGCAATACCCTAACTTGAAATGACATCATAGTGTTTTTTTAATAAAAAAACCAAAATAAATCATATATATATTTTTGACACCCACCCAAATCACACGGTCAACACTAGAAGAACTATCATGGGTAGATAGAGCTGAGTCCAAAATTTTATAAAGAGAAGCCACAGCTCCCTCTCCAGCAGTCTCAAGAATACTGCAACTACCAATAACTAGGCCTTTTGGTAATCCCTTCTTCTCCATGTATCCCTTCAGATTATTGACTATAGTTTCTGTCGGATTCTCTGAAACACCATGAAATTTTTTGAAGCCTGTAATATGAACTGTAACCACTGGAGGAGCTTCTGATCCCATTATGATGATCTAATGTATGTTAAACTAATGAATTACAAGTTATATGTGATAACTCTTCAGCGGCAGCAGAGAAACAATTTTTTTCCCTCTTGTTTTTCTGTAACAAAGAAAAGTAACAAAAGAAAAAGCTGAGAGAAAGATTTGTGTTAGAAAACTTAATTTCATTTCACCTTACCAGAAAGAATACTAGTCTAAAGCATTCAAAATTCTGAAATTTGGAGAATAACACAGGCTAGCATTCCCTGTAAAAATCTGATACTGTGCTGAGAACATAACTTATTTGGTATGAAGAGATCAATAATTAGTTCAGCGAAGCCAACTAAAGCTAATATATCACACATCTATGCAGATAGCTAAACTGTGTTAAAAAATGCGAACTCCATGAATTTGTGGTGGCTAGAAAGCCCAATTATTATAACATCTAAAGAGAACCACAAGCTCAAGATAAACTTTCTTTTTAGAACTAAACGTTTAGCTTAGTCATCTAAAGTGCCAGTGAAATTTCAATCATCACTCTGAAGTAATAAAGACTAGCTCGTGGAAGATCCAATCAAAAGAAGCTGGAAACAAGATAAAATTCATCAGCTTTGACACGGTAAAACCTAGAATTGATATATCAAACAAAACCCTCATAAACGATAAAAAAGGCCAATTCGACTCTTTAAATAGGAAAGAACAAGTACCATCAAGATTCAGAGAAAACAATACTCGCTAGCAAATTGAAATCAACGAATAAAAAAAACAAGAATCGAATCACAACAAGGAACCAACTGAAGCAAAGAAACACCAAACAATCACGGAAATCAAGGGAAAGCTCTCACCTTTCACTCTCCAAATGACAGAAGTGAAGAAGAAACCTTATAAAAAACAAACTTTATCGTAAAGGCGATTCCATGGACTCGAGGAGATGAATCAGAAGTCAATGGCGTAGGTTGCAGAGCAATGATAGAGCGGAAATGGTGGTTGCTTTACGGGCTTGTGACTGTAAATGCGAAAAGTATGATTGGAGAAAAGGTGAGACCCGATGCGCTGCGGCAAGAGAGCGCAAATGTAACTTGTAGTTGGGGTTAGTCAGTATTGGGCGATTAACTTTTTACTGTTAATAATGTGATTATTAAGTTTTTTATTTGATTGAATAAATTTAGCTAAATATTAGCTTTACATTTCATAAATTCTTTTAAAACTCTATCAGAAAATAATACTCTATTTTTCATATTAAAAATAAATTAAAATAAAACAATTATTTTAAAAAAATGTTCTTTTTATTTTTTAGTAATCAATCGAGAACTACTTGTTATAAGAATAATGAAGTAAATTTTAAATAATTTAAAAACTTCAATTTTCCTACTATTAAGTTTTTAATGTTAGAAATTTAAAACAAAAATTAGCACTATTGATCTTTTTTTTTAATGGGAAATAACTTGTGACCAAAATTTATAAGATTTTATGTTGATTTAGGATCTGTTTGGGATATTTTTTTTATAGTTATGCTTTTTAGACCACAATTATAAATCTTTTTGACTATTATTTTCTTATTGCTTGCTCAATATTTTTCAAATATTTATATGGAGAGAAGTTATTTTTTTTACACAAAAGTTGCTACTATATATTAATTAACGATTTTTTTTAAAGAACATATTTATAATATTCACATCATCTTTAAAAAAAATTGCTTTCCTTGCAACAACTTTACAATCATTTTTATAAAATATTGAAACCATCCCGAATAGATCCTTAATTAACATTAATTGTGAAAAAGAATTTGTCAATTTATAATTAATAACACCTTAATAATATTTCTTTTTTACGATGTTTTAAAATCAAAACCATTGGGCTTTTCGAAAATGTGAAGCTAATGTGGAATTTAATCAATGAGTTACGTAATAATCTTAACAACAAAAAAAATTTCATTCTGAATTTTAAGAGTTATCTGATTTTGAAAAATAAATTATCCACAAAGAATTGAATTTTAAATTCAAAAGAATTCAAAATCAAAATGACTACTCCAGACTAATCAGGTAAGGATAATAATAATAAATTATTATTATTATTATTAGAAGGACAGAAATCTTTTAGTCTATCTTTGATTTGAAGGGATTAATGGAGGAATATATATATATAATTTACTTTAATAAAATTTAATATGGAGTATTTGATTTTATTGCAAGTTATGGATAAATAAATTTATCTAATATATTTTAAATATATATTTTTGATGAGAATTTCTTATCTAACATTAATGAAAATAACGTTATTTGATTATTATTATTATGAATCAAAACTCAAATTCTCATCAACTTGCTTTGTCACATATCAACTTCTACTTTAGTAGGCTTTGATCTACTTTTTCAACATTTCTTATATCTACTCGTTCAAAGTTAGAATATTTTATATAATAATCAAGACTGAACGTTTGATTTATAAAAAGTTGAATAGATATCGCACTCCCCATAAGGAATTCAAAGTTGGTTGGTTGCTTATCATTTTTGCCTAGAATATATAAAAAAAGAAAATAAAACTTAAGAGGATAAAATATATAGAGATATAATTATCATTTATTTTTTCGTTTCTGCAATGAGAGTGAAATGGTTGAGACGGTCGCCCAGTAGTTGGGTGATTTTGCCTATATCAAATGATTTCAAGTAGGGGTGTAAACAAGTTGAGCTAAACTCAAGTGATCGTTGGCTTGAGCCTTCGATTTAGAGTTCGATCTTTATTCTACGAGTTTGAGCAAGCTAATGAGCGGGATCTTTTATTATAAAAGAGAGAAAATAATTATGACTCAAATAAATATTTTGACAAAATGATAACAAATATGAGAAATTAGAAAAAAATATACTAAAGAAGATAAAAGGTTAAATATAATTTTTAAATATTTTTGTTAACTTTGTCCTTACAATTTTGAATGCTAATTCATTTTAAGTACATTTTACATTAATATTTTTTAAACACTGACTCAAGATTGACTCGTTAGCTTATTGAACTCGACTCATCAGTAATTTATCAAGTCGAGCCCAAATCATATCACAAGTCAGCTTGACTCACTTCACCAACCCAAAAAGACAAAAAGGTGGAGGGAAATTTCCAATATTTTTCTATTATTATTTTACTCACTAGTTCTTGGGAATTTAATAGTCTCCAACATGAGACATATGTCAAACTAAGTAACCTAAGTTCCAAGAATGCATGATAGTCACAACTCCTTAAGTAAATATTTTTTTCTTATAAGATGGGTATTAAATTTATTCAACAACAACAATGTAGAAAACTCTAGAGACTTCAGAAACATTGGAAACTCTACCACACTTGATCTTCACTCAATCTTGAAAGGAACATTATTTTTCAATTCAATATTTATAAAAAATATATATTTATTTTCATTAAATAAGAATAAAAATCATCTATAATAATCAAAAGAAGTATTTTTAATTCTATATTTTTAGATAAAAGTCATTAATAACTCTAAAAAATTCAAAAAAAAAAAAAAATCTTATCATCCATATTTCTAATACATTCAAATGGTTTTTAGAAAGGTATCATAAATGAGCACAATATCATCCCATAAAATCTTTAGCATGTTTATCAAAGACTAAGGGTTCGTTTAGGACACCTGCAGTTTTTTGTAAGGGTGATTATAAAACTGTTATGGAGAAAATAACCATTTTTAAAGCTGTTATAAAAGCAGCTTCCTAACATAAAAATTTTCTAAAAGCAACAAAAAAAGCAATGATCAAACATAAACTATGATTGTGATTTAAAAAAAAAAAAAATTAAGAAAGCTGTCTCAAATGAAGTCTAAATAAAAATCTACTCTAATCTTGTTCTTAATTTCTTATGGGCCATTACAAATATATGACCAACCGCATTTAAAAAAGAGCAAAAGATACCAATTTTACACCATATTTACTCATTCAGAAACATACTTAAAATACTAACAATTCAAGATGTGCAAATTAACTCAGCATGTATGATTATTCTTAATTTGAAAAGAAATCTCATTTCTCTCAAACCTTAAACAATAAAGCTAGAAGAAATCAAACAAGATTTTTCTCTTTAAGCCTTTACATACCTTCAGCAATGTTTCAGTTTCCCAAGGAAGAGCATTAGCTTCTTTGAATGTAATTCCCTTTTCTAAGAGCTACAGAAATAATCAAATTTGAGCTTTGGATTTGAGTATTCGGTGGACAATATCTTGGAAGCCACAATTGTATTGGCTGCGTCAGAGTAATGAACTCCATCCCAGCTTATGTACTTCAAGTTCTCACTGCAGACTTGACAGTTCGAATTCCCGCAAGTTATATTTGCATTGTAGTTATATGGAGGTCCTCCATAGCCACAACAAGCCATTACTGGACTCTCAAATCCTAAACAAAGCAGATCAATCCTAAAATTCTAACACAAAAGACATATAGCAAGATTCATCATTCATGGTGGTTAGGCAACTTACCATATTCGGTGGAATTTGCTATGAGATCATATTTGATTGAATAAATATCAGTATAGACTATGGTGGAATCTGAATATTCGGATCTCAGTTCGTCGCAGAGCTTGCTCAACTGCGAATTGAATTCCATGGCTCCAATATTTAAGGCTGAAAGGCAGCCATAAGGATCGAGAATCGTGTCGTTTTTTCGAGGGAGAGCAAGTTTTTGAGGAAGGCAACCCAACGGACCAGTGTTATGAATCCAGAAATTTCTGCTGCCAGTATCATGCAACATCTGCATTCAGAAAAGAAGATGGCGTTTACCTTTGGATTGAAGGAGTAGGTAGTATTACCTTATTAAAAGGAAAAACAATACAGCGACTTCATGTTGTTTTCATTATAAACATTTTATTTAATAGGTTGTATTCAACTTCTGAGCTTTATGCTTTGAAGATTGCTTATTAAATAAGAGAAGATATGCAGATAGTCTACTATGAATACGATTTGCTACAAGTTTACAATTTTGAGGGACACTAAAGGGATCAATTTCTTTCAATGTAAGTATTCAAAAGTTATTGTATCTCATTTTTAAAAGCGAGTTGAGGCATTTATTTGATTTAGGCTTCGTTTGGGACAGTCTTTTTATTGCTTCTTAAAGTAGATTAATTTTTATACTAAAAGCTGCTTTAAGAAGAAGTAAGAAAGTCATCCCAACGAAGCCTAAAATAGAATGAATGTAGAGGGCTTACAAGTCACCTTAAGTTTTATTGTTTTAGTTGTGATAATAAAATGATAATGTTAAATTGACGGGCTAAAATATTATTTTTACTTACTATAATTATAAAGCAATGAAAAATTAACATGAAGTTGGATAAAAATGAAACATACTATAGTCCTAACAAACACAAGAATAAAGTTGTCAAGAAGTGAGTTTATGCAAAGCAAATATGTCACACTGCAAATCAATTCAATGTGACTCACTTGCAAAATTAAGATCCAAACACTTGTACTGAGACAAATTGACCTTTAATGCATGCAAATCACAAAAGTAATAAGGATTGGAATAAAGGATGATATGGTAAGAAATTAGAAGTGCATAAGCATAAAGAATAATCATCATCAACATCTCAACCACTTAGGGTTGGCTGGTTTAATATTTTTTTACATGCATTTTTATTATCCGAAAGACTTATTTTGGATTAAATGGCATTTTAGTAAATAATTAATGGGGAATAAAAAAAAATAGCAAGCATTGCTGAAGTGTTGATATATTCAATCATCATGCAGTTGATTTAATCAGAGCCCAATGATTGCTTGATGAAAAATCAACATAGTACCACATATTCTAAATCTTCACTCCCCCTCTAGTTAGAAATATATATTAATCATTCTTAGCTTGGAAGTTAGGTTATCAAATTGTGATTGATCGAGGGCTTTGTTTAGGATATTACTTATTTGGAATTTTGTTGGAGTGTACTATATTTGTATGATGCTTTGATCAACTTTTTACCTTTATGAAATATCTATCAATTTTAGCATGCTTAGTTTGATCATGGTGGGTTTGATCTTTGTTAAGTATGGAGTCTGATTTTATCAACTATTTGGATTCGATTTGATCTTAATTTCTCAAGATTTGTGGCTACCGCAAAGTACTTATTGGACTTAACTATAAAGTCTTAAATGAATATTTCATAAATTCTTAAATGATTGTTACAAAAATCTTCAATGGCAATTGATCATTAATGTTGGAAGGTGAATCTTTCACTGTATAAATCAATTATGCAAGTTTATTAGTTCTTCAACTTTTTGTAATGACTATCGATGAGCATTAAATATAGAGTTCATATTTGAAACATAAATTTCAAAAATATTGTCAAAATGTAATACCTCATCCAATAAAATATTGCATTAATTCTTCCTAATCTTTTACAATAGTTTGGATAATTGCATCAATTTAATAGCATTCTCAATGTCTTGATCTTTCTTTGTAAGAATAGTGATAATTTTTTTTATAGTTTTAAAATGAAAATCATTAAGTACATTGTGTATAAAAAGTAAAAAGATTCCATAACATTTATTAAAACATAAACTTCAATTGACTATTGATCATATATTTCATCTTCCTTGACAATCCCAACACTTCTAAGTTAAAAGCATATATTTTTATGAGACTAGTTAATTTATGAAAATGTGAACCCTAACAGGTCTCATTAATTCGTTGTAAATTAATCTTTTGATTCAAACCTCAACTACTATTTAACTCCCTAGTATTAAGATAGAAAAGTATTTTAGCTTTACCTGTAAATGATTCTTTGCTATATCCACTAAACAAAAATATAACTAATGACAAAAATAATAGACAAAATATGTGAGAATTATCATTAAGAATGAGTGCCTTCGAACCAGATAGCAAGAACACACTATTCTTAAGGCTTTACTAAATCCTCTGTTGACCTCTATACAAGCTCCATGATCGAATTGATTGTACACAACGAAACAGAAAAGTAAAGGGCGCAATGTCACATGAAACTCACCTAACACGAGTTGACCAAAAATCAAAATCATCGAAACGAATAGCTCTAGCACATTCAAGGTAACTCAAACAACTAAGATCAACATTCATATTGTTCGGGATTGTCGATCGACGAAAACATTAGAATTTAGCACACACAGATTGAGACAAAATCAACATGCATGACCAATGGCGATTTGGCGAGCGGATAAATGCACAATTAATGAAAATGAATTTTAATTAATATTTAAAATTAATTATAAGCTATATATAATTAAAATGATAAAAAAGGCAAAAAAAGATAGCTATCCTTTAAATAGCTTTTTTCTAAAAAGCTAAAAAAAAAAGTAAAAAGAGAAATAAAAACAAACTTAACCCTACCTAAATTAAAACTCTCCCTCTCTACCTCACTCAATTTTACTCTCAAATCCTCTCCTCTCTTTAAAATATGAGAGAAAACCTAATGTCTCTCTCGAACTCACTCTCTTTTTTATTCTCTCCCATACCCTCTCTTTCTCTCTCTAAAAAGAAAGAAAGATCCCTCATTCCCCCTATTTCTCTCTCTAGAAAGAGAACTCTCTCTCCATCCCTCTTTCTCTCTCTCTTAAAAGAGAGAGAGTCCCCCTCACATACCATTACTTTTTCTAAAAGAAAAAAAAATGTGCACAACCTTGCCTCATCATCTCGTCAACGTTGTCCTCGTTGCGCACAAAAGGTATAAAAACCCTGCACACTCTTAAAACTAAAAAAAAAAAAAAATCCCGGCTACGATATGTGCATGACGAGCAAAACTCGTGCATGCTTTTCTTAGCTAGTAGGCGATGTTTGTGACAAGCCAAGTATGCCTCAGAATCATTTTCTTAGCACAATGGGGCAAAAACCTAAGTACACATGACTGTCATTCTTAATGGGCGTGGAAAAGCTATGTCTTGCAACAGATACCTGAAGACTCATGCATTTCCTTTCTTGGAAGGTGGGATTTAAGGCTATGTCCATAGTGTCACCTAACACAAACTATGCATGCTTTCCTTGGCATGATGGGAAGGCCCAACATACTCGATTCAACCCCCTATCGAGGGGGGGTTCGAGGTGCTACCGATATTTGTACTGACATGGGACTCAAGCTGAAGTTAAATGCAACTAAAATTTAAAATTAAATTGACGAAAAAAGGATGAATGAAATCCTAAGTTGCAAAATGAGAACAAGAATGAACTGAAGCATGACTTATAGAGAACTTGTGTCGAACGCGAAGACCCACGAATGAGCACAATCAAAAACCTTCCCTTAGTTCCTAGAAGATTCATGCACACTCAAGTTCTTAAAAAACACACTTCGTGAACCAGACTATGATGAAAATAAACTAAACTAGGCTCCTTATTTATAACTCAAAAAGCAGTCATTTGTGGGAGCCACCCCTAAGCTAAAATCCAACCATAAAAAAAGCAAATAAGCATGTGTAAAGTATGCATTGAAGTAAAGTAGATACTTTGAGAATCAAGCAGATGCATAATACATTATGCAAATCATTCAAATGCATAATTCAAACCATTTAAGTGCAATATGCAAATACATCATACAAATGTATTACGCCTATTATACAAATACATTAATAACCACTCATGCAACTGCATTATGCCAATCATGCAAATATATTATGTCAATCGTGCAAATGTGTAATGTCAATCATACAAAAGCAGGTCATCATGTAAATGCATTATGCAAATCATACAAGTATGTTATATATTATACAAATAATACAAAATGCATTTATTATCTTGCGAATGCCTTATGCAAATACACTGAAGAATGTGCATGACATTTGAAAGAAATTTTAATATTTGCATGAGCCTTGAGGAGCGTAATAAACATGCAAACATCACATCTAAATATGTGCGAACTAAAAAATGATAAATGTGTTTTAAATCCATTGCTCTAAAAAATGTGAAAATGCATTTTGCAAGTGTGCTAAAAGGCACGCACGCACATTATTTAAATGAAATTTAAATCTCTCGCTTGTGCTCCGATAAATATGGGTCAATATATAAAAATAAATTTAAATTCTAAGCCCGATCCTCCTTGAAAGGACTAGAGTTGATAAGGCCTGAACCCAATAAATGAACATGCAACTAAGAAGCACATGAAAAAAATTAATTTTTTAAAGATTACATTAGTACTTCAAGGTCTTTTAGAAAGAAAATTCACTATAAAATACAAGCTCTCGGATAACTCACAAAGTTAGTATCTGCATAAAAAAGAAATGCTTGGTTACATGAAGAAGGGAATGAATCAACTGCCGGTGGAATGATTTACTTACATGTTTGCCTTTGTCAAGTGATGGGGCAGGGAAGGAGGCACGTAATTATCTAAAGAAGGGTACGGGTCGATCGTTGGTGTGCGTAAGAACGAGAGAGGGAGAGAGGTAGATTTTTTATGAATAGCGTGAAGAAGAGTAGAAGGGGCCGGATGCGATGGGTGGACGATGTGCGTGAACTATGGAAAGAACGGCTAAACAAGAGAGGGAGAGAATGGGGGACAATGGGAGAGCGTGTGGAGCTACGTGCAAGACCTTGGTAGATCAGTACAGTGATATTTTTTTTTTTTGGTGGGTTTGAAAATGCCACTTTTTTAAACATCAAATTTAAATTTAAAGAAGAGGGAGGGGGGGGGGGGGGTTGCGCAATTGCTCGTCCTTGGCTTAATTGGGTTCCACCCTTAACAATGTTAGTCTTGATCTTCAAATTAATCTTGTGGAGACATATAATGATATAGTGATGTAGAACGGAGACGAGCTTTGCTAGGGAGAGGAAGAATTTGAAAAATTCTTAGATTTTCATCCCAAAATCTGTGAGACGTCTTAGAGTTTTGAGCTTAGGAAATAGAGATGGGGGAGGGAGAGCCAACCCAAGGTGAGGTCTTGTGGAAGGATCAGTCAATAGCAGATTGAAAATCCCAAGCCTCCTTTCATTGGTCTGGGAAGGATTTCAAAATTTGAAACCAAAATCTGAGAAGAATCTCAGAGTTTTATAGGCTAAGATGAAGAGAAAAGTGGGGAGGAGGCCAATCCGTGACTAGGAGTAGAAGGCTGAGTGATATTTCATGCACATGCTATGGATTAGACATTAGAGAGTTCTTCACATGCAGGTAGGCAAGGGGAGGGGAGATGATGGGAGAAACAGCTGATGGGATTGTGAGGTTGGCGGGAGGAGTTAGGGAGAGGTTTGGAATTCCTTAATTAATTCCTTAGATGTGGAATTAATTGAGGAATTACGGGCAAGAGCAAAAACTATGGCAGCAAACCATAGGAGCAATAAAGGTAGGGAGAGGAGTAATGAGAAGGAGAGAGGGGCGGTAAGAGAGAGGGGCTGCGGTTTGTAAAGGGGCTGGAGTTTTGATTTGTTTCCAAAAGAGAAATTCTCCGTTGGAAAGAAATTAAGTAGAAAGGGAATAGGAAATTTCGGCCAGGGAGAGATTGGGGGGATTTGAAATTATTTCCTAAATAAGGGGGAGAGTTTTAGGAAATAAATAAAAGGAATTTAATGGGTATAGGAAGGGCCGGCAGCTTGCATGAGGGTAGGAGGATTTTATGGGATTAATTAAGGCTTCCTAATTTAAGTTTTGAGATTAGAAAAGTTTTAAATTAAATCCAATTGAAATTTAAAATTCAAAAGAGATTTAATTCAATTACTTTCCTAAAATAGAGAAGCTAAATTAGGAAGGAACTTGAATGCAATTTCAAAGAGATTTGAATTTCAAAATCATCCCAAATCAATCCTCGGTCCGGTTAGGAAATTCAAGGGTGAAGGGGAATGGTTGAGGCCGGCGGGTTGGGGCCTTGGCCGGCGGCCAAAGTGAGGACGGGTGGAGGTGGCCGAGGTTATGGGGAGGATTTTAGTGGAGCTTGTTGTGGGGGAAGAGTGGGGAAATTTGGTGAATGAATTGGATGTGACGAAGAAGAAAAAGGAGGGTGGTGAGTGAAAGAGGGTGGTGAGTGAAGACGAAAATACAAAGAGAAAACCACGAACCCGGCCGTCTCCAAGGTTGGTGGGTGATTCGTTTTCCCTTCTCCAAGGGACTTCACGTCACGAGCCCGGACCCATCCTGCAGCTGGTGAAACTCTCGATTTCTCTCATAGAAATCTCGCTCTCGCTCTCGCTCTCTCCCAAGAAAGAACACAAGTGTGGACACACAAAATTTTCATATCAAATTAACCATCATATTACAATAGATTAAGGCCCTATATATAGGCCATAACATGAGAAAATAAAAATTTTACAAAAATGCCCATTGGGTCATAACTCTCAAATAAACTAACCTAGGGGTAAAACATGAAATAACATAAAATAATAGCTAAATTCATAAAATAAATTTTAAATAACAAATTAAATTAGAGCCGTCGATTTACGACGCCTCCTGTGATAGATGCGTCAGATCTTCATGCCGATGTCCGCATCATATAGAGCTTCCCTATGCTAGATTAGTATCCCTCTTTTTTGTTTTCAGAGGTGATGTTGAAAAACTTCTATTTTCAAAAGAAAAATGTAGCACAAAATATATCATGTGTCTAGTCAATATTTTTTTCAGTATCACTATATGTATTAATACTAATATAGCATTGATACTGACGCACAAAAAATTTGTTAGCTAAGCTCACGTAAAATTTTCTAATGCAAAGGGTATAGCTTTTTCAATCCCGTTAAGCTGACAAGAATACATAAAGCTCCAAAACTTGTGCATGTCCGCATGATCAAAGTTTCTAAAGAAACTAATTTTTAAGCATGTTAATAACTTTCATACACTGGAGTAGAGCCAAAATAAAAAAAAAGTACTTAAGAGAAAAATAGATAAAATTGGTAAAGGGATTAACCAAATAAAGAAATATGCGAACTTGTGTGATTATTTTAATTTTTTTATCAAAAAACAATGCGAACTACTTGATATAAAAATAATAATAATAAGAAGAAGCTAATATGTGCACACTTCATCAAACATTTGTGTTTTTCTCCCCTGAGGAACAACAGATCTCATCATGAACTAGATAATCTGTTTAACCAATTAACATGCCATCAACAGGTCGTTTCAGGTGAAAAAAAATTCATTTCCCAGAAAAAGAAAAAAACATACCTTAATAGCATTTTTTATCTCTGCAATAACTGAGGGGATTTTCGCAATGGCTAAATCAAAGCTAGCATTCGAACCAAAGGCAGCAGATAAGTCATTCTGTCCGATATCAATCATATAAATAGCATTCTTAAACCCTTCCTCATTTACCAAATTTTTTGAACCTATCAACAAAATTCAATAAAGTTTAAATAATCCAAAAATGCAAAAAGTTCCCAATGAATGAAGCACCATACATAATACTTAAAGATTGGTGGATGTGGTCTGATTTATGCTGTTTGTGTTAGGAGTGAGGACCTAACTAATGTGGACCAGTTGGGCTAGTACATCAATTGTCAAATTCATTTTCAATCAAAAAGCACAAATTGGTAAGTTAAAACTAAGGCTTCGTTTGGGACAATTTTCTTGTTGCTTCTTAGTATAAACATTTTAATTTTTTACTAAAAAATTGCTTTAAGAAGCAACAAAAAAGCCGTCCCAAACGAAGTCTAAATAGTACTGCATAAATATATGTAAATGAAACCTAAAACTTTACTTGCCTTAAAATATATCTTGTTATATGAGTTCTCTAAATCAGCCACAATCCCACTCAAGGCATATGCATTCCAACAAAGCTAGCATCACATGTTAAGGAACTTTTCGGATGCTGAGAATTTGTGTGGAATGAAATGGGAAAAAAAGTGTTGAAAATTCAAAATCAAGGATTGTTGATTCATATTCGACACATGAGCTACTTATATTTCATTTCATTTCCTTGACTTTACTCCAATCCAAATAAAGTTTAAAGCAACAAACATTCAAACAAAACAAGTATCACATACTAAATCAAAGAGTTCATCATCACACCTTTGCTTCGAATTATATGGTGACACTAGAATTGCTCCAACACGAGCCAGACAACCATAGGAACCATGTTTCTCACTCAAGTCCAAGAAATTCTTTGCTTGAATGGCACTTTTTACTTGCATTTGGGGAATCAGTGTAGCTAAGGGTGGCCCTCACTTTTGCTTCATATTGTATGCTGACATTAGAATTGCTCAATCACGGGCATGTCAACCAAACCTTTAATGTAACTATACCTGAGTATGGAATTTTCGCTCTTAAATATTCTTTTAATTATGTAAGCTACGACAATTTTTCCCCCTCATTTAGAATATATTATTTAAGGCAAAATTATAAAAAGGAGTTCATTTAATACGCTAATATGCAGAAGGATCGTATTAACGAAAAAATTAAAAAAGGAGCGAAACCAATCTGCCAAATAACGCATTAGAAACCGAAAAATATTAATCTGATTTTTTTAGAAACCAGAGCATAATTATTCAGTTTCTAATAAAAACGGAGCATAATTATCCGGTTTATATAGAGACTAGATTTTCAAAATCCGGTTTCTATAGAAACCGGATTTTAATGTTCCGGTTTCTATAGAAATCGGATAATTATGCCGGTTTAATATTTTTTTATTTTTTTAAATGTAAATTGTTTTTTTAATAATATAAATTTGTAATCTGGTTTCTTAAGAAACCTTAAGAAACCAGATTTTCATCCTTCGGTTTCTTAAGAAATCGGAATTTGCTCTAGTTTCGCTCCTTTTTAAATTTCTTTCTGAACCCGCTCTTATAGCTAATATTCGTACAAAAAATGCTCCTTCTTATAATTTTGCCATTATTTAATCTCCTTCAATTTAAATTCTAATTCCACTACGTACTGGTTATACATCAGAGCAAAGAGGGCAAATTCTGGCTTGATATTCTAATGATCAGCCTGAGTTTCAAAACCAATTACATAAGCTATAGCTTAAGCCCAACCACTAACTGCTTAAATAAATTAATATTTTTTTCAACAAAAGAACTAAACATAACACTCCAGTTGCCATAATAATATGATCCATCTTATATTAAGGACCCCATACGCATTTTTTTATTTTTTATTTTTCAAAGTTTAAAGATTAGCTATGCTTTCACACAAAGAAGCAAGTAGTAACTAATTTGCTGATATGGGAAGTCATATAGGATGCTCAATGCATTTACCTTGAGCAACTAGTTCCAAGGACTTCGACTTAAACCGGAAGAACTGAAGCACTTGGATAAATAAAGAGAAGGGTTGGTTTCTAGGTTGTGTTGTAGAACCAGAAATTGCAAAGTTTGCTCCATTTCTGAAATCCGAGCCCAAAGACTCCAGATAGGGGCTAAGGTAGCTAGTGTTCAAGCTTTCACCTGCAAATCAAATACACGAAGAACAACCAATCACATATTGTAATAAACTTAGAAGAATTAGGCTATTTGATCTCAAGTTTTGTGCTAAAGAGTTATCCGAACAATGTGGCTTTGAATATATTAAGAATTTATCCTTCTAAGTAGCTACCTTTTTTAGTACTCGGCCTCCATCCACATCATTCCAAGAATCCTTTAGGACAAAATTTTCTGACCCGCCATTATTCAACTCCGAAATAAAATATTCAAACACAGCTCAATTTTAAAGTTCAACCAGCCAAAGAGTGGAAACAGCTCTTACAGCTTTCTGAATTAAAACAACAAAAAAACTGTGTTTCCCAACGCATCATTTTTTTTTCTGACGAGATTAAGAGAAAGAAAAAAAAAATTGTCTTTTTCTTATCATTGAACAGGGAAAACTACAAAATTGAAGGAAGACATATACTTCTTCCTTTATAATCCAATTCCAATTAAATAAAAAAAAAGAATAATTTTGCAAACATTTTCCCCGTTTCAAGATGAAAAACAGGCAGATTAACAGGCGCGGTTCATGGATGGCTCCTACAATTATGCGTTACTCTGGACGAAATAAGGAGAAATAGAGAAGAAGAAAAATTATGGGGAAAATAGTGAATGTTAATAATATAAAATCAATAGTAAATGTCATTATGAAATTCTGTGTTTTCATCCTCTTTATCACTATTCTACAGAAAAATTTGTAAACAAATTTTAACCTAAAAATCAATTACGAAAGTGGAAGGTAGAACGTACAGAGGAGATCGAGGATGAGGCGGCCGTCACAGACACGGCCAGTGGAGCGGTTGAAGAATACGCGGCCTTCGGGGAGCGGGAAGATGTATCCGAGCCCAGCAGAGAGTCCTCCAGTGTCGGAGTTTGAATCCCCAAAGTTGAATATTACCACCCTTTCGGCGGAGCAAGCCGCCTCCGCCGCCGGAACAAGATAACCCGCTACCGCCAACAGCAACAACCACCACCCCATTACAGAAATCCTTTCGCATCTTCCCCCAGTTACCCCTCCCCACGCCATTAGCAGACGGTACGCAACCGCGCTTTACACTGCGCTTCTGTTCTGTTCCAGAGTGAGGTGCGAGTAGAGGGAAACCGGCCTGTGTTTTCGAAGCCGAAATAAAGCTTCAGTTTTTCTTTTTCTTAGCGAAAGCCAAATTAAAAAAAAAAAAAAATTACAGCGTTAAATCAGCGACAATTGACATTTTATTTTATTTTATTTCCCCCGACCGTTGGTGCTCTTGCTTCGAAGTCCCTTATCCTCTCCTCCAATTCTTCTGCTCTTCTTCCTCTATCTATCTTCTCTAGATTATTTCAGGTGATCGATCTCAAAAAATACTCAAGATTGACTGGTTTTAATTTATCTTCTCTAGTTTGCCCACCTACAAAACACATGAGCATAATTTAAAAAAAAAAATTAAAAAATTGAAATATTTTCAAAAGTTTTCTCCTAAAAAATATGTAAGAAAATAAGAAATCGGTTTTCATTAAGAAATTAAGTATATTTTTTTAAAAACTAAAATAAAAAAAAAATTAATATCCATCTGTTTGATTTACAATTTGTTTGAATTATTTTTTATTTTGTTTAATCTAAATTTATTCATGAATGCACCCAACCTTACTAACATGTGAACTCTAATGAAACAATCTAAGAACCTCTGTGAGAATGGAGCAATTATTACATCCGGTGTCCGAATGCGTTCAGAGATCAATAACCACGCGCCATGTCACCAAAAACTCGGTATTTTGGACTCGATATTGCTCGGTATAAATTCGGATCGTTCGGTTTTTGACCGGATGTAATAAGTTCTCGTGAGAATGAAGTGTTATTGTTAGGTAATGATGAATCATATGAAATGAGAAATAATAAAGATAATTCATTATTTTATTTATTAATTTGAATTCCAAAAAATATACTTACAACCGAAATTTAATCCGGGGGTGCTGCCCCTGGAAAACCCCTACAAGGGCGCTGCCACTTAACCCTTGGACCCCCGACATATATGAGAAGCATATAACAGTCAAGAATATGAACAAATAAGGGTCGAGCCAAATTCAAGGCAACTTCAACATACATTTTGTAGAAATTGAATGATTAATCATCTTTAGCAACATTTTTTTTTTGTCTCTATTTTTTTGTCGCTATTGACCAATTTCTTATAATGAAGGGTCGAGCCAAATTTGAGGTAACAGCAATAATTACTTATAAGTTGCTCCCCTAAAAATTAAGGCCGGATCCGCCCCTGATTACTTGCAAATACCTCAAAGTTGTCAACGAGTTATGTAGAACCTTGGATCTCCAAAAAAAGAAGGCAAATGAGCTAAAGTGATATAATTAGTAGTGGTACAGATGCGACACAATGCTCAATGTTTGATGCAACTAGCCAATAGCTATAGCCATATGATGTAACATGTAATAAATTATTTTGGATTTTTATTCTATTCAAATTAATCGAAAATTTATATTTTTATTAATTTAAATAGAAAAATGTTTATAAAATCATATATCTATTAATTGCAATTACAATATTTTTGCTCTTTGATGCTCGAATCGTTTTCGAACGGGAAGATGAAGACATTTCCAGTCGCTTTCCTGCGTAAACCATTAATGGGTGATTGGTATAATTATTAATTAGTGATTTAAGATGCGCTGCAATGCTTGATGTTTTTTCATGAAGCTTGCCCATATGCAGTGCAATGATGTGACATGTAATAAATTGATTTTTTATTTATATTCTATTTATGTTAACCGCGTTTAAATGTTAATTAAACTTTTAGAAATATTCGTTAAGGAAATGGAGTTTTCTAACGAAAAATCAAATACCAAAAACCTTCTCAAAACAGTAGAAAAATGAAGATCCCTACAAAGCATTTCTATAGAAGCATCCCATCCAAACAGAAACAAAAAAAAAAAAAAATCGCCGTTTCTAAACAGAAAAGGTAAAAAAACGCCCTCTCAAATAAGAACTTTTATTTGGTCCGGTCACAGGACGTAGCTCTACGTTTGGCCGCCAGTAGAATCGCGTCACGCGTTCTCACTATTTACCGCACGCCCCGACAACCCGAAGCGGAACAGACCCAGGATTGCTCGGTATTTCTCGATTTTGCTAGGTATAGCTCGGTATTGCTAGGTATTGGTCGATTTTGCTCGGCAATAACCAATACCGAGCAATACCGAGCAAATACCGAGCAATACCAAGTTGTACCGACTTTTTCTAGAAAAACTCGATACAACTCGGTATTGCTCGGTATTGGTCTTCACAGAGCGGTATTTCTCGTTATTGCCAAGCAATATCTAGCAATACCGAGCAAATACCGAGTAATACCTAGCAATACGCGAACATAGCATTCCCGGGTTCCAGTCCGGGTCAAGTTTTCAGGCCGCGCGGTAAAGAGTAAGAGCACGTGGCGACATGTTATTAACAGCCGAACGTAGCTCTACGTCCGGTCAGAGGACCTAATAAAAGTTCCTCAAACGAGGCCAAAATTGTTATGTTTGTGTAATTCAAAAATAATTTTATTCAACCCAAATTTATCTCTAGATGATAACATATTATATTAATAGATTATCGAATTGTACCACTTTGATTGTGTGACCCTCTTAATAGAGCTTCTTCATGAAAATATTTAAGGTACTAATGAATTAACTATATCGATATAAATAAGTTTTTTTTTTTTTTTTCCTTTAGTAACTTTTCAATGGTTGCAAATTATATGATTAGAAAGCATTCTATGAATTAAGTTGGTTAGGCATTTTCATCTCCACTTTTCATATGGAAGAAGTGTGTGGAGTATGTGACGTCCTCCATCTCATGTGAGAATCTTGTTAAATTGGATCATCATATCCTGCACTCATTTCTCCCCTAATTCAATTCAATGTATATTGAGAGTCATCGTCATCAAAATCCATTGTCAAATGAAGTCTCTCTTGTCTCCTCTATTTTAGTTGAACGATGACAGATAGAGAATTGTAGTAGGGTGATAGTGGTTGACGACATATGATTGGGAAACAGAGGTAGAAGAATTATAGTTGAGCAATGGAGTTCGCAAAATCATAGTCAGAAGATGGTGGAGGTCCATAGTTGTCACTTCCTGACCCATATGACCTGATACCACACGTCATACTGAGTTCAACAATGGCAAAAATCGGAAACTGGTCCCAACATGAAGTTTATAATTTATACAACACGAAATGGGAAAATTATTCTGTGTGGAAGCAGAACCCGTCTGGATGTCTAAGTCCACAACTCAGTACCGCTTGATACCACGGCTCGGTATGACTGATGTGACTCATTCTGATTGGTATCCGGATGTAGAGTTATGTTTGACATCCGCACAGAATAATCCGACTATCATATATAATATAAAGTGAAAGACTACATCTCAAAAATAATTTGTTTTATATCATAAAAAAATATGCATAATCTAAGATATATCTAAAACAGTATTTGATGATAAAAAAAATAATCAAACCTATAAAAATAAAATTAGCAAAAAGATATACAGACAGCACAAACCAGTTACTCCTTACCCATAACGCGTGAAATAAACAGAAAGAGACGGTTTCTAAATTTTCAGTGCCGTATCCTCCCGGCTTCCTCACGTCGCATTTAAAATTAGCAAAAAGATATACAGCCAGCTCTAAGAAAGTCGCATAAGAAAACCGTAAATTGGCTTCACCTGATGGTCGCTCAAGATAGACGCGAGAAGGATCCAACGGAAGAAAAAGAGTTCCTATAAAAATATTATGCGCAAAGGCCTTATGGCAGAGCTAAATCTGCTGTCTTGTAGGAATCCGACTATCCGAGTCGAGCTTGGGCGTTCACGGGGCGCCAAAAGAGACCGAGCGCTGTGGGCCCTTCCAAGGCTGCAGCATATCTCCAACGATTATTGTTATTCTCTAAAAATAATTATTTTAGAGAGGGAGTTGAAGGTAAACTTGAATTATGGAGGTCAACCTTAGAGTCTAAAGGTTTTCGCTTGAGTAGATCTAAAACGGAATATATGGAGTGTAATTTTAGTAGTAATAGACCCAGTGAGGGGATTGTGACTTTGGGCGATCAAGTCATTAATAAGAGTACACGTTTTAGATATCTTGGATCTATTGTTCAGAGTGATGGTGAAGTAGATGGGGATATTATCAGCAGAATTCAAGTTGGATGGTTGAAGTGGCGGAATGCATCGGGCTTGTTATGTGATAGAAATGTACCCCTCAAACTTAAGGGAAAATTCTATAAGATGGTAGTGAGGCCTGCAATGCTTTATGGTGCCGAGTGTTGGCCATTAAAAGAGAAGCATAATACTAAGTTAAGTGTGGCAGAGATGAGGATGCTTAGGTGGATGAGTGGCTTTACCCTTAGAGATAGGATACGAAATGAGCATATACGTGAAAAGGTTGGAGTAGCTCCAGTAGAAGATAAGATTAGAGAGAGTCGCCTTAGATGGTTTGGTCACATAAAAAGACGGCCTTCTGATGACCCGGTTAGGAGAGTAGAGGTATTAGATTTGACTTGTGTTAAGAAAGGTAGGGGTAGCCCTAAAAAGACTTGGTTAGAAAATATTAGGAATGACCTTTCTTTATTAGATTTAAACGAGAATTTGACTTTTAATAGGACACAATGGAGAAAAAGGATTCATGTAGCCGACCCCACGTAGTGGGATAAAGGCTTGATGTTGTTGTTGTTGTTGTCTAAAAATAATTATTTTAGAGTTTATTGCATATCTAAATTGTGTTTTTTATTTTACATAATTGTTTTTATGATTATTTTAAATAATTTTTAAATTTAACATTTCATAACAAAATAAAAAATTTATGAGTACTTTACTTTTAATTTTTAGTATAAATATTGATAAATTTAATATTTTCATAATTTTATTTTATTTTTAGTTATATAATAATCTAAAAATTATAAATATTTTTTAGAGTAACAGTGAGCATAACAAAGCTTAAATGTCTTCGATAAAATTTTTGAATTAGGAAGTTAATTTTAACTAACAGTACAAAACAAGACTTTAACGACAATATCATTATAATCATCTTCACAAAAAGTTATACTTAGACTGAAATATTTACTAGCCAGATTCGAATCTTACGTATGTGATATGTGTGAATTTGCCTCTT